TGTGGAGTCTCCTTCTCTGGAGACATTCAAAACCCACCTGGACGCGTTCCTGTGTGACCTACTGTAGGTGATCCTCCTCTGGCAGGGAGGCTGGACTAGATGATCTTTTGAGGTTGCTTCCAACCCCTGACATTCTGTGATTCTATGAGGTCTGGTAGCACATTTGCACTTAGCACAAAAGTGTAGAATTCCCTGTGGGTGTATTTTTTGAGTCACTCATGTTCACAGTTTTTTGCACTGCTGCTTGAAATTGCTCATAACCCACTTGTTATCACTGCGGCTCTCAACTATTTTGTGTCTTGCTCACGTGGGGGAAGGTGTTCCTCTCTGAGATGGTTGTCCTTCACCTTGCCTTCTCCAGTGCCTCATTTCCCACCACTTACCTGAGGCTTCTCTGTCAAAGCCTACAGTGAGATCTCGTGTGGCACTGCTAAAAAACTGTTGTCTTACCGAATAGAAAGGAGTCTTTCCTCCCCTCACTCCTTCTTCAAGTTGTGGGGCCAAGGATGATTGCTTCTTCTGCAAGCATTACCTGCAAGAGTGGTAGCTGTTCCACTTAGCAGTTTCCTAAGGTCTGCTACTGAAGACTTAAAATGTTACAACAGATAGTAGCTTGATATATTTTTGCAGTTATATTCATTCACTTTAGCCCAGGACTCAATGTGTTTTGAAGCAGAACCAGCTATAGCTGTGATGTGGAGAAAGTGGTCATGCTTCTGAAGGATACTTGCTCTGCCATGTACTTGAGCAGTGTAGGGGTACTGCAACAGTTCCCTTCCCTCCTTATCCCCCTGCTGTAGATTTAGGTTTGTTAAAATTATTGAAAAATTGTTGAAAGAGCTTTCACTCACTTGGATGTACTTTACACCTGTACATAGTTGATGCAGGAGATTTATTTTTAAAGCATTGGACTGCTTCTAACAATCATTTAATATGTGCAAAGTTAAAAATAATGGCTAGTGTATCAAACAAAGCTATCGTGCCTAATGTGCAAACCAAGTAGCTATTGGAAGGAATCTGGTTTCATAAAGATTTTAAATACTTTAGTTATCCTTGATTTCAATGAGATTACAAATGCTTAACATGTCTTAGAAAACAGGACGCTTTTATAGTATGATGTAAACACATGTTTAGGAATTTTCAACATTTCAATTCAGCTTGGAATTTTTAGCCTAGACATACTTATTCCTTAATAAGATATGTTATACCTCATTGCTAGAGATGTCCCCCAGTCTGTGCCACAAGTCCTGTCACTTGTAGGAAGTCATTTAATATCGTTGTCTAGTATTAGTTTAAAATATGCATATGCAATTATATGAATGCATATGTTCTTATTTTTTGCAATTTTTAGAAGATAAGTTAAATATTGGGATACCAGACTCTGAAAATTAACAACTCTACAATTTTTGTGTTAGGTTTTGGGTTTTTCTATTAAAAATAATTATTCATTGTGACATTTCTGCAGAAATTCTGACTTACTAGCAAAACATTCAAATGCCTGTTCTGCAAAACTGTAGTCCTGCATTTAGTAATGTGGCATGGCTTATTACTCATGATTTTTTTAAAAAGTGGTGCTGTCACATTCCGAAGAGAAGTAAAGAAAACAGCCTCTAACATGGGCAGCCAGAAATAATTGCAGCTTATGCATGTGCGTTAACGTGTGTTTGTTTTTTGAGTGTGAGAGGAGTCTGAAGGGCTCTGTAAGGAGGAAGCAAATCATTAATGGTGTTCATTAACAGAAGTGAGGTGTGTTTTCTAATAACTTCTATCACCTTTTTTTTTTTTTTTTTACTTTTCTCATGGGATATTTGACTTCTGCTCTTTGCCTGACAGGTTGCCGATGTGATGTTGGAGGATCTCTCAGCCCAGAGTGTGCCGAGCCCTCGGGGACCTGCCAGTGCAGGGCACACGTCGTGGGGACCGACTGCCGGCAGTGAGTCTGGCAGAAGCTCCCGGTAGCTCCTGCTTCTGCCTAGTTCTTTTGAAACTGCCCACATGTCCCTTGCTGTCCTTTCACGTGAGGTTCTGGATTTGTTGATAACGAAGCTGGTAAATTGTGTTAGTTACTGATGTTAATCTTGCAGGGCAATTTCCTTCTGTTCTTTTACTAAGATTTTTTAACTTACTTCCTTAAATAACTAATACCTGTTTTGCAGTAGTATCGCATATATATCTATATCTATACGTCTATTGGGAGTTTAATAGGAAAATGTACATAAGCTGTAAAAGCTTCTGAAACGATAATTCTCATTGTGTCCACCTTATCCACTGTCTTGATTTTATTAGCTGGCATCAGGATTCCTCAGTCATCAGTAGGTCACCTCCCTTCTGTTGCTTTATGCTCTTAGATGTAGACTGTGCAACAAATGGTAATTCTTTGTTGTTGTTTTTTTTTTTCTCCTTGAAAGGCCTGAAAAAAACTATTTTTTCCCTGATCTGCACCACATGAAATTTGAGATTGAGGATGGTACTACTGTTGAAGGAAGGGAAATTCGATTTGGCTATGATCCTCGGGAATTTCCTAGCTTCAGTTGGAGAGGATATGCCCGGATGTCCTCTATACAAGTAAGCTGGTGTTTCACTCAAGGCTATGGGGTGAAAACACAGGTGTATGGTGTGCATGTCTCTGTAGTACTGCTGTGTGTGTGCGCAAGGTCATGAAGAAACCAGAAAAAAGGACAGGATCTTGCTCATTTGAACCAAATGTTTGGATTAGTGGGTGTTGGTGTTATTGTACATTGGTCATTGCTTGTGCAAATAAGTGTTCTTCAGAAATGTTCTTTGAGGATTTTCTTGTAAGAATTGTGCATTTTGCAGTAGGCATAAAAAAAGAACTAATAGCTTTCAAGTCTGTATTACTAAGTGCAGAAATTCTTACTATGCCAAGGACAGTGGAAACAGCAGAAGATTGATGCTTGGCTAAATAATAAGAATTACATAACTCTGTAGCAGTCTATGTCCATAAGCTTTTCAGGTACCATCACAGTGCTGTCACTGAAGTCTTCTTACACTTGCAACTTATATTGGGCTAGGAAGAGAAAGGCACCACCTTTTATTAGGAATGATATCTACACATTACAGTAAACAGGAAAATGTGATTCAGTAAAAGAAACTGTGAGCAGCAGCAATTGGCAACATTAATTTTAGCTTCATGGCAGTCTACACATAAACTAAACAGCAGCAAAGACAATAAATAAATTATAGGAAGAAGGTCACCGTAATTTAATTGTGTGAGAAGGGACCTGTATGACTCTGGACTGAACTGCTGATCAGGTGAACCAGGATTTTAAAACAGTAGTTTTGAGCAATAAATGGAATTTGCTCACTCTTCTTGAAAATAGTACTCTGCTATAGTTATGTCCAGCCTCCACAAGTTGTTCGAGGACTAATGGTTCACTATAGACTGACACATAAGCACATAACCATTGCAGAAGCATTGTGACTTCCTTTCTGTTCTTATTTTTTCTCTCTTTCCTCTTTGTTATTTTGTGTAGTTTTCTTCTTTTATCCCAGAGCTCATATTTGTTGGATCTTCAGAATTACTCCTTATTCACAAATGAAGGCAACTCTCTCATAGCTGTGATTTCTTAATTTTTGCTTTCTAACTCAGCTCCTTTTTGCATTTCCTATTCAGTGGCATTTTGTAAGAGTCTCTAATCTTGCTAAAAGTGTACATTATTTTGCTCACCTGGATAAAGTTTTTCACTCATGTAATAGCTAGTGCTGGGCCCTCCTTAGTTAGATACTTGTGTATCTGAGAGAGTCTCACATTCTTCATTCCAAGGAGCTTTCCTAGTTTTGACATAGCGTTTCTGGGTCTTGCAGGACCCTGAAACAACCGTCCTGATATTTATTTTGTAGAAGACAAATCATATTACCATATCTACCACACAAGAGGCTAATGTAACAACTTTTTGTGAAAACAAACACAATTAAAATTTTTGAGGTGAAATAAATAAGCTGTGTGTGACCTCAGTGGAGGTCACTGATGCCCTGTCATGCTACTGACGTGGGTGTTTCATTATAGACTGAGAAGCGGACAGTTGGCTTCAGATTTTAAACCACTGCCAGAGTTGCCTAAATTTGTGACAGAGCTCAAAGAATAATTTCTCCCCGCTTCCTGCCTTTGCTTGAAGCCAGGCACTGACATCTATTCATAGATTCATTCTATTGATAAATCTTCTCAAGCATTTTTCTTTATTTCTTTTGCCTTTTCTTTTTTTGCTAATATCTATTTTGTTAATATCTATTTTTCAAGTGTTCCCTCAGTGCCTGTCTTATTCATGTAGTATCCTTCAGAAGTTGTCCTCCATTTAAAACAACACTTGTAAATCCTTCCTCTACTTGTGTATATTTTCCATGCTGGTCCACTGACCTTCTGCAATCACCTAGATTTTAGATATCTAGTCTCTGTAGATCTCTCAGCCCTGCCACCTCTTGTATGTTTATCTTTGCTTTCTGCTTTGGATTTCTTAAGAAGGTGGAAGTGTCTGTGATGATGAAGACTGGATTGAGGAATATACATTCAGAGCAGCATATGTGAGCTGGCAGTCTTGCATTTATTGTATCTTTTAGGAGTAGGAGAAAATGAGACTTCATGCTCTGTTCTCAAATGTATGGAAAAAAGAAAACCTGTGTGCGTTTGGGCAAGCAGAGTGGACCACAGTGGTGGGGCGGTCACCACCACAAGCGTCTTGGAAAGGGACGGCGAGTGGATTGTGATGGGTGAACTGGTGGGAGTTGGATTATGAGAGGAGCTTTAGGATTTAGGATGAAAAGAAGGAAGCCAGACCCTCAAGCTTGCACCAATGCTATATTTTCCTAATCTGTCACCAGCCTTTGAACAGGTTTCTGCCACTTCTGTTGCTCTGCAAATTAAGCACTGGGGCTGTGTGAACACAACCTCCTGTGGGCTCCAGAACTGTGTGGCTGCAGAGGTGCCACTTCAGCCCGAGGCCAGAGTCATGCGTGGTATTGCTTCTCTAAGAAACTGCAGAACCTGGTGGAGTAGCAGAGGAAGTTTCAATGATGATCTGAGATGTCTGCATGCTGTGGATCGTTGTGTGGGATTTCAGGCTAGGATCAATGATTTTGGCCTGTTCCTTGGGAAGTGAGGCATATGAACAGCCCTCGATACCACATGCCTCCTTTGTGGCACAGGAGGGAAGAAAACCAGTAAAATACTGTCCATGTATCAATGTACAATATCAACACCTGTGTTAGTTCAGTCATTCTGTATCTTTCTGGGTAAGCTGTTATTCAACAAGAGGTTTATTTCACAGTAAGTTTTGTTCTATATTCTTTTGTAAGCTGCCCAAGCCTTTCTTTTCTGTTATGGAGTTTGCCAAACGGTTTTTCTTTCTCTGGGTGCTAGTAACAAATAATATACTTTCCTTTCCTCCTTTTTCTCTTTCTTTTTATTTTTCCCAGCCAGAGGTGGTTGTGCCTATCACTGTGGCTTCTCCTAAGCTCTTCCACCTAGTCCTCCGCTATGTCAGCCTGGGCTCACAAAGCTCTAAAGGGAAGATCTCAGTTGCTGAGGGAAAACATTTTGGCACTAATTATACTTGTAAGTGAATTAATTTTCTCACTAGGCTTGCCTGTCTTCCTCTGTCATACACCGGCATTGCCATTCTGGTATATACTTGCCTGCATGTGCATTTTTCTTGCCGGACTTTAGTATGATGCTTGCATGGCTTCTAACGGTTCCTCTATTCAGCACTTTACGGCTGTTTTTGTTTATTAACTTCCATTTTTCAGAATGAAGTGAGGATAACTGTGAATGTGGAAAAATCAAACCTCTACTTATTTCGCATTATCCTGAGGTATATTAACCCTGGAGGTGAATCATTATCTGGTCGCATATCTGCTTGCCAATCTCAGCCTGAAGCAGGTAGGTGAAACTCAACAGTGCAGCAGATCAGACGAATGTTAGGTCAGAGGAGCCTTTTCGCGGTGCACCTAGGTCAAATTTGTAATGTCACTTAAAATACATCACTTTTAACAGTGTCGGTGCTTTTCTGCTTTTCCTAATATATTTTGCCATGTAATTGATGTAGCTGTGTTTGCATGAAACCCCTGCTTACAGCAGTAATCTACATTTGTTTTTTCAAATGTTTGCCAAACTCAGTACTTTCAATTCTGCACTTGGAAGCTCTGAACTGTGTGTTTTAATGAAGCTTTTAAAGAAGGGATGGCAGCACTTATATATGTTTAGTTGCCTTTGATATTTCAGTTTAAAGGTGGCTTCTGCCTTTATTCTGTGAATAACATTTGTTTAGTGATGAATCCAATCCTACTGAGTTAGTTCTGTTTATGGATCTCAACAGCACGTGATGCCTGTTGTCCCTGATAAGTACTGCACATCCTTTGAAGGGTAGAGGCATACCATATAGGTGTGCAGAATTCTCTCTTAGTATGTCTAAACTCAGCATTCTGATGGGAGCTGATGGAGTTTAGTCATAGATCCTTTTAGAAACTCAGAGGAGACAAAACCGAAGACTTCAGAGGTACCACCCATCAGAGTGGTCATGTCTGGCTTATATTGCCTGGGAGGCAGGGAACCAGCTTTTTTCTGTCTCTAAGGGCTTCAAAGAGGAAATCTTTAATATTCATGACGACTGATCCTCACAGCTTCTCTTTGATAAAGCATATTGCAGCTACATTTCTGTTGTACATCATCTCTGCCATACTTACCTTCAGTTACTCTCTGTAACTAAATATTTTAGATGCTATGGAGAACCTCCAGTGTCTGAAATATTTGGCTGAAAGTCTCATGAGAACAGGCCTTGTGCCAGCTGAACATACTGTGAGTCAGTGCAGAGACAGGTTGAATGGAAAATAATGGAAGGGGAAAATGAAGAAGTGAACATTTCAGAATATTTCAAGATCAGCCGTTACAGTGGCAGAGCTCTGCTTTTCTGAACCTGTTTGCTGAAGACTAATAAGAGCAAAGACAATAATCACTGCCTAGCTCTGTAGCTTACTGTGTGTGGTCGAATGCACTGTTAGATATTGACAGAAAAACACTGATCAGCTCCTGTTAGACCAAGTTTAATGACGAAATCATCAGTCCAGCCCACTAAGCAAGTAGAAACATTTTACACAGTCCCTGATTTTTTTACTTGATTTTTGGGGGGTTTTTTGTTTGTTTTTTTTTGCTGGCAGGGGCTGCTCAGAGCAAAGAGTTTGTCTTTCCACCCAGCAAGGAGCCAGCTTTTGTCACAATCCCAGGAAAAAGCACCACAGAGCCCTTCTCACTGGTTCCAGGCACGTGGACTATCAGTATAATGGCAGAGGAAGTCCTCTTGGTAAGAAAACAATTGAAGAAAAAAAGTGCTTGAAGGCTGTTGTGATAGTATTACTCTGATGTTGACGGGAAGGAGCCTGCAAGCAATTGAAATTTGGCACTAGTGAGAAGAGTACAGCAACAAAATATTGTTATGAAAATTTATACTTCTGCCTCTTCATATTTTTCTTCTCTGACTTTCACATGCTCTAACTTTTCTTGTGCTTATGGACTGTCCAGAACCTGTACCTTCAAAAGATAAAGTAATATTAAAATACAGCATAATTAGTTAAGCATAAATGTTCACAGAGATTCATAATGCTTACATATCAGATGTCATATCTAAAGTTTGGCTCAGCCACAGATGACCAAGGCCTTAGTTTCTTGACAAAGATTCTTCAGAAAAGTATTATAAAATGGGCTGCATGATTAGCAAGTCATTTTTTAGATGTTTTTATACCCCCATCATTATTCTCCCTCACTGAAAAACTGAAACATTCTCTGGCAGAGAGCCTGGGGCTCTGTTAAATTTATGGAATACCACATAAAATGTTACTAAAGAGCTTGCAAACATATTTCTTGCTGAAAGTGACAGTACTTATTGTGCCTGTTTTGTTTCACTAATACCTTTGAAATGGAATTTATTCATGGTCTTAGCCCAGCATGTTCACACAATAACAGTTTTTATAAACAAGCTCTAATATGTTAATTTAAGTAGGCAAGGTAGAGCGAAAACATACCAGCTTTTGAAGAGCAGCTGAATAGATTCCATGGAATTTTTTTATAGAAATACGTGAATCTCCCTCGTAAAGTCACGCACAGTTGAGTTGTGGTGAATGTGGATTGTACTGGTGGGTGGGAGCTGCGCCTAGCTGGCAGCCGTGTGTCACCGACCCGTGGAGAGGCTCCTCCGTGAGCACTGTCATGTTCAACACATGATAGGGGAGCAACTTCAAATTTCCCCACTCACAGGGCAGCTGCCTACGTGCCGTCTGTACGAAGGTATAAATAGAGTTGGGGAGACACATTCTGATGTTGCTGGCCCACGTAACAACAACAAAAAATCCATGTCTTGCAGATCGCCGCTGTAAAAATTATTTATGTCATTGGTTTTGTTTATTTTTACATTGTAAAAGACTAACAATGTTCCTTTTGTAATTTTCTACATGGTCTTCCATTTGTTGTATTCTTTGTTTGTAGGATTATATGGTGCTGCTACCTAGAGATTACTACGAAGCGTCCATCTTGCAGATACAAGTTACAGAGCCCTGCGCCTATTCAGAACGTGCTTCAGCAGAGCAGTCAGTACCTATGCTACAGAATAAATCAGCACCTTGGATAACTTTATTATTACCCTGCTGCACTTGAAAACAATAACAATCCTCTTTTCTTTTTTGGTGTAAGCTGCCTGCTCTATCGGCATTTGCCATTGGACAGATTCTCCTGTGTCCTTGGTTCAGAGGCAGCGTATTTCGGGCACGGGGGAGAATACGGAAGACTACCCGTGCGACAGCCAACTCCTGATCAACCAGTGATGAGCCGTATCAGTGGAAGAGAGGTCAGGTTCCTGCCTGGTAATTGCAATCCCATCTGCACTGTATAAACCTACTGGGCTAAAATGACTGCAGATTTACAGCTTAGGATTTGCAGATCTGTAACGCATCCCAAAAACAGACTCCGCACCAAATTCTGCATCTGATTTTATACAGAACTGTGTAAATGGATCAGTGTAGATAGGCTTATAACTGCACCTGGAGTGGACATCTCACTGTGACAGAAGTATTTTATTAAATAAAAATTGCCCTGCTTTAGGCGTATTGGCATGTTCAGCATACTGTTTAGTTGCAGCAGAAATGGCACAGTGGTTTGTCAGCAGAAATGGTGTACATATGTCACCAATCCTTTTTTTTCTAAAATAGTTGTACCTAAGTAAAATATTTGCATTACTGAAAACAAGCAGAAGCAATTGTGCCACTGTTGAAGATCCATTGAAAGAGAAACATGTTATAGGAAAAATTATGCTAGAAGTGTGTTTAGTAAAAAAAAAGATATTTTGTCAACTACATGATAATTATAGGGAAAATGATTACGCCCTTGATTACCGTGCTTGAATATTGCTTTTAAAAATAACAGGTGCAACAAGAATACTTGCCTGTGAGAGGCCCTGGTGCTTCATCACTGATTCATGTGCCAAACTTTACTGGTATGGATAATTGCAGTGAAGTCAATAGGGCTGTTGAAAGAATTATTTACATGCTTTAAGTTTTTGTAGCCTAAGGAAATACTAAGAAAACACAGTTTACATTTGAAAATACCTATATAGCCAACTGTAGCAAAGACCTCTGTAACCACAGCACTTCCTACGCAACTACTTTGAAGCATTTTGCATCAAATATTGTGTTAATGAATTTGCACGAGTAAACTAAAAAAAAAAACTTTCTGCTTCAGAAAGTGGCGTTGGCTGTTTGCTGGAGAAGATTCTTTCACTCTTTGTAGGGAATCAGTATACAACACTGCTGCAGTAGGAATTGTGTTCCTGGAAATGTTTTTTTTCAGTGGAAAAGTAGACTCAATTTTTATATGTTGTTAAAGATAGCTTAGAGATGGCAGTGACAGTTTTTTAGCATCATTAAAGTTTCCTCACTGGTGCTTTCTACTGAGGAGAAGAGAAATCATAATTTACTCATTTCCTACGCTTGTTTTTATAGCCTCCCCGGAACTGTCATAATGGCAGCTGTTTCTTGGACTAGCTTGACTCTTACTAGTGGACAAAGTGTTACTTTTAAGTGTTGCTTCCATTCTGGTGGATGTCTTTTGCTGAGACATTACAGAATTGCCCTGGACTCTACTGCTAATGGGCTGGCTCGCAGGGCAGGAGAAGGGAGCTTCCTGCAACAAAGGGTGTGAAAAATCTAATGGCTTTTTCTTTTTCAATGATCTTGACCTAGGTCAATTTACAGATGACCATAAATGTTCCTCAAGTTGGTCGCTATGTTCTGGTTTTTGAATATGCCAATGAGGAGGATCTGTTACACACTGCCAAGGTAGTAATACAGAGCCCTGGACCTGTCACTGAAGGCAGAGTAAGAATATATAGTTGTAAATACAGGTAAGATTTCTGAAGTAATCACTAAATAATTAAATAAGCATGTGAAATATAGTTAGAGTTTTTCTAATTTGGAATCCATTTTACTGTGTAGACTGTTTAAATTTCAGGGTGATTTAAAAGCAAGTACATGATTTTGTGAGTACTGTACAGTTTTTTTAATTCTCATTAAATATTACTACTGCTTCAGTTAACTGTTTCCTTATACAAAGGGTTACTTTTTCATATGTATTCTTATATTGTTATAAACTGCTAATCTTCAAGTCCTGGGGAAGAACATCACTGTTGGCTGCAGATGACTGCACTGTTTTTATTTGGTTAAAAGCATGCCCAAGGGCTTTGCCTATAAAAAAAAGTAGCAGTCAGTTTTACAAGAGTGTTCTCACCATTTCTACTGCTGACACAGAAGTATAAAGATCTCTGGAATTCTGAGTGCAGCCATCCTCTGGCTGCTAGGCTATAGGCAAGGTCTTCAGCTGGATGCTTCTTTATCCTTGTTAACTAGTGAGGTTACTGCAGATGTTCCTGCACAAGAGATTTTGTCTGCCTTGAGTGAGATTGTCTTTAACACTTGAGCATTTCAGTTTATGAGTCAAAGTAGGATTGAGATCCTGCAGATGTTTGTGCCCTTGGGAGAGCCTGCCCAGTGACAGGGGACTACAGACATCCATCCGTTTTTCCCGTGAGCCAAGTGTTTGGCAGACTGGAGGCTTAGGGATATTCAGAATGGAATTGCCAAGCAAGAAAAATCATTTTCATCAGCATGCTTATGATACAGAGCAGAGCTATATGGAGCAGTGACCTTGTCAGGTTGTTGCTGGGGAAAGCTCTTATTTTAGCCTGTTATGTAACGCCTTGAGCCCCAAACTACTTGCTATAAATGTATTTAAAGGCATTTTATTACCTTTTGTTCCCCTCCAAACACATTATAGGCAATTTTGAACATACTAAGAACTTGCTCATGAAAATACAAAGAAAGCCCTTGTTACTGTAGTGTAGCAATGCAGCAAATCCCTTCTGCAGCCATTCTGCATTAAGCTTATGGTCGCATTGCAAGTAAATTGCTGTGTCATCTTTCCTAAGTAGGAAGCTACAAGTCTCTTCTATTAAAAAATAAATCAAGAAATGACATAGTGAAGTACATGCAGTTAAGAGTAACTTTCCAGTTCAGGAATATATTATGCCAGGCCTTCTTACAGCTCTCTGAGCTTGGTTATTCCCAGTAAAAAATCATAAGAGAATAAAACATTACAAGCTTCCAGCAAATCATGAATAAGGGACCTATATTTCTTTGGCCTCAAATGTCCTTAGCTCTGAGCTGATCTTATACCTGGGCTGTGCTCTGAACAAGATCGAAACTTCCACGTTCTCTGGTTCACAGAGGAGAAATAGAGAAGCAGATATATGGTGGTTCCTGCTTCCCACCCGTGGCTTGCTGGCTGGCCTAGCTGAGCAGAAGTGTGGAAGAAAGAATAGAAATTAGAACCTTACCTGACTTCTCTTTAGCAAAAAGGAACTTTTGCTGCTTTTGGCAAGTTGCAACTTTTGTGACTCCCTGAAGGAGGCAGATTTCAAAGGTTTTGAAAGACTCTTAGCATGCATTTGTCTTTACCAGAGATGCACAGCCAATGGAAGGCAGTCGTTAAGAACCAAACCTATATTTTTTCACTTTTGTTGAGGAATATCTCAGTGTATGGAATAGCTTCCTAAAATCAGTATTTGCCCAGCTGCCACTGTGTGGGTGAGAGTCGCTGATCCACAGTGTCGGCAACAGTACTGGAAAGCAGCAGCTGCTGCATGCTGGTGCCTCAGGGAGCCTGAGTTAGTTACATGCCATGTTACACAGCCTGGAAACCTCTGCAGAGAGCATGTATGTTTTTTTCCTGTTCATACCCTACTTAAAACAGTAGTTCAAATGGAAATCTGAGCTCTCGGTAGGTCAACCCACAAAAGACAAGCAGTATTTTAGCACTTGGGATATCCCTTGCCTCAGTAGCGAGAACGCTGCGTGTTCACCAGTGGCCAAAGGTTCTGTAGGATGCAGCAGGATGGCTAGGCACCAGCAGAGAGGCTAGCCAAAAGCTAGGCAGCTGAGATAGGTAATAGCCTAAACAACAGGGAGATGCCTGCAGGGCTCATTTTTAATCCTGCTTTCTGTCTCAGTTTCCTTTGTCGCAGCGTTGTAGTTGATGACAGGAATCGTGTTGCAGCCTATGACCTTCTTGCAGATACAAAAATACATCTTAAGGCATCATCAATTAATTTTCTTCTGGTAAGTTTCCATTTTCTTTTCCTGTTTGCAATACTTGTTCCCTGAGTGGGTAAAGAGAGATACATTTCTTCCTGTGCTCACGTGCTGTATTGTAATGTGTGAAATGATGTGTATTGGATGCTTGAAGATATTTCTTTGTAAGTACTCAAAGAATATTGAGGCAAACTTCATTAGTTTCAAAGCTAAACAGAAATTTAGCTTCCTTGGTGAGGATTTTTCTAACTGTCTTGTGCTTTATTTTGGTTCCTCTCTCTCTCTTCTATATGTAAACTTTAATTGAAAAATCTTCTGGTACCTCTTAAACTTAATCCTTTTTTTTTTCCTTATCTTTCACTTTTTAAAAATCCTGGAAACCCGTGCAGGAGTTTCCTGAGTCTCCTACAGAATTCATTCATCTAACTTTTTAAATACTTTGAATAAAAAGACTTCACTGCCCTCTTTTGGCCACACCAGGACTACATTTTCCTGGACACAATTTTCTTCTATGTTTTTCTGTTTTCCATTTTAGAAACACTATGTGAGTTACACAGTTAGATAAAATCTAGAATTGAAACCCAGCTATAAACTACTAGAGTAGTTTATAGGAACTATGAGGATTAACAACCAATACGTGCTTTCGTCATTTCATAAAGCCATGTTCAGTGTGAACAAATACCATTTAAATTGTTTGTTAGCTCCCAGGAGCAATTCCTGTGCTAACAAGATCCATATCCAAAAGATGTTGATATTATTAGACTGTATCTCTATATGTGGAAGTCTCTTGTGCTAGGAATCTCTGTATTTTTATTTCTAAATTCTGGTTTTCATTCTCTGAATAACTCGTTGAAAGATAAATTTCGATATACTCCTGAGCTACAGGAAATATTTCCCTGTCTTAAACGTAAAGACTGCACTTAGCAAAAGACAAGAGGAAGGAGGAAAAGAACTTCTGCTATATGGACACTAATCATGCAGTCAGTGGTCCCTTGTGTGACTCCTGTCATGTAGTCCAGGGAGGCAAAGGGGAACGACTCCCAATACTGGAGTTTAGAAATCTGCTCTGAATAAAGGGGAAATGGGATTCTTGAGATCAGCTCTCAAGAGAGACTCTTACAACTTCATAGCCTTTATCTCACACTGCAGCATGTGAGCTCTCTAAACACAGACCATGTTTTGCACTAACTTCTCAGCCACTAATAAAGTGCAGTTCGAAGCCTCAGTCTGCCCTTGTTCTGCTGCAATGGGCTGGAACCCAGGAGAAGGGGCTTCTAGCACTCTGCCTTCTAGCTTATAAAGGATTTCTATTCCCTGCTCCCTACTGCTAAACCACAAGCTGAGCTCACTTAGGACCTGCTTCTGAACTGAATCACTTTGTACTTTAATGAATGCGATTTTTGTTTATATTACTATGTGGTGCTAGTTATCTTACTGCTTACCAGGCATTCTTATGTCCTTTTCAAGTATTTTATCTCCTTTCCAAATAGTTCATGCACAAGTTTTATAACCTGCACTTAGATATTTTGTAAGTGCAGGTAATGTATTTTATTAGTGCAAACTGTTGTGTCTACCCACTAGCCTTCCCTTATGTCCTTACTACCACAGCTACAACAGGACTACTACAGCTTCATTTTTTCATGTCTAAGTTTAGTTTTTAAAAGACTGTATGAGATCTTGTTAGCTTTTAAAATGAGTTCTGAATCTGTTTGGGGAAATCCTGGTGTCACTGAAACTCATTTCTCCAGACTTTGTGGAAGCAAGTGTTCACACCTGCGTTTCAGAAGATCTAGGAATTCCCCCAGGGTCCAAAAGTTTCTTAAACATCACAGATAAGGGCTTTTCCCTTCCGCCTCTATATGCTTCTTGCCTAGCTTCTGACTCTATGAGGTAGTCTTCTGTCATTCCCATTGCCATACATACACCTACTTTTTATTTATTTAACTTCTGAACAGCCAATATGGCCCTGAGAAAGACAGAAAAATGCTATTCAACACTGAGGCATTCAGGTGCAGGCAGGTAAAGGGATCCAGAATCTTGTGGGAAATCCATGACAGAACACGGCTTTGGGCACAGGTCTTCCCATGTTAACATTAGGTTCTGTCCTTCACATTCAGACCTTGCCCTGTTGTACAATAGAAGTCATTAACTGTGCCTTGTGCTTATTTTTCAGCACAAGGTTTGTATTATATCAGCTGAAGAATTTTCTTCAGAATATGTGGATCCTAAAATACAGTGCATAGCAGCTTACAGGAGCACCCATGATGGAAGGTAACTTGATTTTATCTTTTGTCCTTTCTGAAGATCACCTTGAAAGGCAAACTAAATGGAATTTTAATTCTTTTGAATGAACCTTTGCTCAGTGACTCAGAGGCGATTTGTAGGCCACTCTTCCAAAGTAGTACTTGTAAAAAGACTGAAGTGCCAAGTTTTAAGTCTTTGTGCAGGATTTTGTTAATACTAACCTCTTTCTGTCCTGTCGGAACTACTGAGTGCTGCTGTGTTAGAAAACATGAATCATTCACATGCTGTTCAGTGTGATAGGTGTCCAAGCTGGAAAAACACCACTACCTTGGTGGCCAGAAGTGCTTATGGCTCCATATGGAGTTTCATTCCACACATCGGGCTACCAAGCTAGCAAAGGATTTGGAGCATATGCCATATGAGGAATGGCTGAGGGATCTGAGGATGTTTAGCTTGGAGAAGAGGAGATTGAGGGGAGACCTCATCACTGTTTACAACTGCCTACAAGGAGGTTGTAACGAGGTGGGGGTTGGTCTGTTCTCCCTAGTGGTGAGTGATAGGACAAGGGGAAATGGCCTTAAGTTGCACCAAGGAAAGTTCAGGGTGGATTTTAGGAAACATTTCTTTTCTGTAAGGGTTGTCAGCCATTGGAGCAGGCTGCCCAGGGAGGTGGTTGAGTCGCCATCCCAAGAGGTGTTTAAGAGATGGGTAGACGTTGTGCTGAGGGACATGGTTTAGTGGTATTGATAGGGCTAGGAAAAGGTTGGATTCAATGATCTTGAAGGTGTCCTCCAGACAAAACTGTTCTATAATTCTATGATTACTGCTTCAGCTGTTCCAGATTAGCTTTAATTTGTCGTTAGGTAGGGGATGTGACTGCCTTTTCAGGAGCAAATTCACCAGCTCAACTTGGCAGCATCAAACTACTCAACATGTAAACCCCCACTGCACAACCAAGCCATTCCCTTGTTCCTCTCAATTGTGGGACCCGTATGGTAGGTGTGTGTTCAGCCTTCACCCCACACAGCAATGTCAGGCAGTCCTTCTCCTTAACTCCTTCTCCTTCATTATACTTGTATAGGACTAGTAATTAGAATGCTCATACAGAGCTTGGTTGACCCAGACTGATGGGCCTTCTCTTGCTGTGAAGATCTGAACCTGATCTTTCACTTCCCAAGCAGTCAGGTTTGGGTTCTGCAGAGCACCTGCTCTGTCTTGCTGAAGCTCTTCTCCTCTCCATATGTTTTATTCTTTGGGACAGAGAATTACCACTGCAGCTTCCAAATTAGGGAGCCCCACATTTCAGTTTCTGTTGCACTCCCCAGGGTGTCCCTCGTGATACTACTCCTAAAGCTTTCTTCATAATGATCTGGCAATGGGAAGGGCCTCTGAGTAAAAGTAAATGTCATTTGCAGGACTTCAGAGGCAGAAAGAGTTGATGACTAGGTCTAGTAATTTTCCAGATGGTAGCTTTTAATACAATGGTTGAATTGAAATAGAAAGCAGAAAAGTCTGGATAGTAAATTGGATAAAAGCATGTGACTGCACTTGGCTTCCAAGCATGCATAGCATTGAATCACAGCTTTCATTCTCCTGCTCAGTGTTACAGCTGAGAACAGCTTTCTAAGGCTAAAGATACTTGTCCTCACACCAAAGGTACTTTGCATTCCTGGTCATTTATATTCTGAGTAAAATGGAGGAAAGAGCCTGGGTGAAAAACATGATTTAAAATAAAGCTAATGTCGAAATTTGTACTTTTTACTTTGGTTATACATTGGGAGTTTTTTTTAAATCTCTTGCTATATTTGAATAGTATACTGTATGTTTATGTTCTCTTACTAAGATGCTTTCCTGAAAGTGTTCAGTGTTCACCATGTTAAAAGATGCAAAGTCTTGGCTCAGTTTAGTAGTATTTTAAATGGATGCTGCATGTAATTTTCCACACAGACCTGGGAAATACATCTCAATCCTGGCCCTGGAGCATACTTGCCATTCCAGTTCTGAGCCTGTCTTGAGCACAGATTAATCATTGTCTGTTGAGTACTTACAAGAAGTGAACAAATACTAGCAGGAAACCCCCCAAACCATTTTACCCTTCAGTCTTACAGAATGCTTTTCTCAATCAAGTTCTTCAGAATTAAATGTACCAAAAAAGAAATAGTTAAACAGAGCAGTGAATGGATAAAGATGCTTTCAAGAAGCCCTGTTATTTATTTTGGCTCCAATTCTACAAGTGTTTGAGTGTATACTTGACTTATAAATACTTAAGTAGTCCTATTGACTTCAGTGTGAAAACTTGCATGTTTAATGGGTACACCTACATAAATATTTGTAGAACTGAGAATTCAATATCAGTACAGGTTCTGGTAAATGTAACTGACTGGATTAGTTAAAAATTGTTTATTGTTTTAACACTCTTGGTTCCCTTGGGTTTCATCTTCCTTAGCAAACTCTTTCCATTGAAACTGTTCAGGTTATGGAAATTTTCAATTAATAAAATCAGTTAACGTAGATTTTCTCCTTTGTGAGTTAAATACATATTTCTTGTTTTCATTTACCTTCTGATCATTTAGATAGAACACAGAGAGTAACAGGGGTTATTATTGCATTTTTAGTTGTAATATACTGACTTCTGTGAGTTGACTGCTTTTCCTTTTATGATGTTTAAGAAATACTCCTTTCCCCAAGAGTAATTACTGTAATTCTGTATTTAGTGCAACCTGCATTCCCTCAGTGTATGAAACTCCACCAGCAGCTTTGGTTTTGGATGCATTCAAGGACGGGAAAGTTTCCGAAATACAGAGAAATATATTGTATGATCCGCTGAGCATCACTTTACCTTCTGACTCAGTTAACGGAGTCACGTTGACACCATTACAGGTATCTCATATTTTGAAAACTTTGTTTCGTAAGTCACAGAGTATGTTCTTAGTACAGCTCAATGGATTAAACACTTTAAGATAATCAAAACTAAGGGATGTTATGTGATCAAAATATTGCCACAAAGCAACTGAGTAAGCTGGTTAGCTTAGGTTAGCTCAGTCAGTTGAGCATAACGCTAACAAAGCTAAGGTTGCGGGTTCGATTCCCGTTCGGTCCCCATGTGTTGCCTGATCTAGTCGAGAGGTGGCGTCCCTGGTGGCCGGGAGGCTGGATGAAAATGATCTCTAAGGTCCCTTCCAGCTTAGGCCATTCTATGATTCTAAGCCACAAAGACATGACACAGGAAGAGACAAAAATGCAGACTTCTTCTAAACTCTGCAGTAGTCTCACAGACTGCAGAAGAACTTCAGATGTGCTTGGCATGCAAACAGGTAGGAACATGGAGCAGTAATGCCATATTCTGCTTACTACCTCTGCTTAGAGGTAGTAAGCCCTCTCTCTTTCATTGCAGGTAGGTGGCACGGAGCACAGCTCATATACCCAAGAATATTTCACGAAACAAATATACTATCAGAGCTGTTCTTGTTTCTGCAGAACCAGATTACCTTGAGTGGCAGAGTGCCTCGCCTGGGCAGACATGTATTTGTGGTACATTTTTATCAGCCAACACAACCAGTGTTCCCCGTGCAAGTGCGTGTGGGTGCAGGACGTGTGTGGTCAGGTAAGCATCTGAATTTGATCTCACCTCTTTCCTTTCTCAGCTTTTTGGCACATGGAGCATTTTTTGGCATTATGGGGTTTTTTTTAGGTTCCTTCAATGCTTCATTCTGCCCTCATACCTCTGGCTGTCGGGATCAGGTGATTGCAGAAAACCAAATTGAGCTCAACATTTCTGAACCTGAGGTCTCTGTTACACTGGTGATACCCGATGGAAAAATGCTGGTTCTGGTACGTTTATTCCATAAATGTACTTGGAAATGTTATTCTCAGGTTCACCATTCATTTTGAGATAGATGTAAAGATGAAAGCCAAAAAAAAGAATTTGCCGTTTAATGCTATATCTCAGATTTTTAGGATCTTGTGCACTGCTTCTGTTCTATTATAAAAAGCTCAGTTTATAAGATTCTATACACCATTTTTATTTTACACTGCTTGTAACATCACAACTCTGGGGGGAAGGTAAGAAGTATATCTTCCTGGGTTTTTTTCATTTAAAATGTTACAGGTTTTGAGAAAATCCAGAATGCATAGTGAAGCACCATTTAAATATATAAATGCCTTAGCTTGTGTCTTTTACTTTTCTCTGAAATACACAATTTAGCTTTCTTGTTGTTTTAAGGAAAATGTCTTAGTTGTTCCAGCAGACACCTACAGTTACAAAATTCTTGACAAAAGGACAGTGGACAAGTCATTTGATTTTATCAGCCAATGTGGAGGAAACAATTTTTATATTGAGTAAGCATCACTTTCTAAAAACCTGGCCACTGACAACAAGTTGGGAATTAATATTACTTTTCTGCTGTATTAAAGACTTATGTATAAAATCCTCATCACTGTGCTACATAAAAATGCTTTTAATGACTTATGCTGGCCCATTAATTTCCATGAGTCATTCTTTCATGACTTTCTATTGTAAATGAAATATAAAGATAGAGCCTTATTGCTCACAGTACAAAAGAGGAAAATCTATGTCATCTTTCTGTCTTTAGTATTTCCATCTTTGGTATTTGGTATTTTGCTTGGCATGTCTGAACTGATATGACTAATATGCGCGCTTTCTTTGAAAAAAAGTCTCTTGCCTGCATGTTCAAAGCCATTCACCACTAATTTAATTAAAGAATATCCTTGCATGTGTATTGATGCCATCCTTATGTCAAGGAACTCTTTGAAAGACAGGATCCTAATTTACTGAGGCGCTGCAAACCACGCTCATAACAGTTCCCGCGTGCCAGTACTTATATGATTTATATCTCAATTTAAATAGCCCACAAGAGTCGTCGGCCTTCTGTAAGGACTCTGTGAGGTCACTAGTGGCTTTCTACAACAACGGAGCCCTGCCGTGTGATTGCCACAGCGCAGGTGCCGTGAGCCCTACTTGTAGCCCCCTGGGAGGACAGTGTGTTTGCAGACCTAACGTCATCGGTCGTCAGTGCAGCCGATGCCAAACTGGCTACTATGGATTCCCGTTCTGCAAGCGTAAGTATCTGCTTGGATTTATTCAGCACCTGACACGACCTTTTATTTAATTCTGGGATTTTACTGCATAGGTACCGCAGCCTCACTTTTCTTTATAGAGCTTGATCCTATAGGAGGCAGGTTGAGCCATTGGAGGTTTAGCACAGCGTGGCTTTCAGTTTAAGGGAATGGCAGCCCCATTCCCTTCAAACACATCTAGCTCATGATGAAGTGTGCCTTCACACGTCTTGTCTCATCACACGTGGCAGGCTTACAGCTTAACTTGTTAAAATCCATATTGCCACTCTTTCGTCAAATGGACTTTTCTGCACTGACTCCTAAATCTGTTTCCAAGTTACGACTGTTGTGTCCCATTTACACGTCAAGATTTTCCACAGATGATCAGAGACATAACACTCTTAATTCCTCATATTCTGATGTTATTCTTAATAACATCAACAGATTTTTAGATTACACCAACAGTCCTCAGCTGCCTTCCCAGCTATTATTTATAAACGTTCCTTTGTAAAAGTGGTGCCCTTAACTATTTGTCGTTTAATCCTTGGCAGTTTTGGGAAGTGGTTAATAATGCCTGTGGTGAAGTTGAGCAACCAATCTTTGGAAAAGAGCCAGACACTAAGGCTACTCTTTGAAGCTACTGTTACAGTAACATAGTTGTTTTCCATTACTCCAAGCTTAAAACCAGTGAAAGAGAAAAAGGATCAAGTCCTTTATACATAAAGGTTGTATGTATTTGTTTCATGTGCTTGTTTAATGAGAGCTGATCATTGTAAGTTGAGATGTCATTGAGTTGTAGAACATTTTCTTCGACCTAGCGTGCAACTGCGGGCAACGTCTTTGTGATGACGTGACTGGTAAATGCATTTGCCCTCCCCGAACTGTGAAACCAACGTGTGAAGTGTGCGAGGAACGTTACTTCAGCTATCACCCTCTTGCTGGCTGTGAGAGCTGCAATTGTTCAGAAAGAGGAGTCGTTAATGCCGCAAGCCCAGAATGTGAAAAAAACAACGGGCAATGCAAGTAAGTTTGGGTTATATGTATTATAAACAGTGTACCAGTGGATTGCCTAACCCTCCTTTGCAGGTATTTGGAGGCGATGTGGAAAACTTTGGTAAAGGTTAGCAGGGATTTAAGCAGTGCTGGTCAATAGTGAGGAGGACTCAGCTGTTTCAGGGACGCCTGCAAAGTTTTAGTGGAAAATTGGTTTGTGCAGGTAACTAAAGGTGGGGTTTGGGATTCTCAGGCTTACATTCTGTTTGCCAGTGGTGTGCCATGTTGCTCACAGTAAGGCACCAAATCTCTGTCCAGCTCACGTCACTCACCCACTGCCAGCTCGTAGCAGCCATCAGATCAGAGATCTTGACTTCTGGAAGGGTACATCATTTGTAATGGTGTACATCATTTCCTAGATTTAAATTTTGCAGTTGACCTTCCACGATCTGATGTCTTGATTTAAGTGTAATGATGTTTTTAAGTACTATAAAGCTTAAATATTTGCACTGAATTCTGATAAACTGATGATAGGTGCTGTGTGTATGGAAAGCATGGTTCAGTAGGAGCCACAGGTGATAATTAGTCTTAAAAGTTATGCCTTCTATGTGATATATGCTTATTTTTCTGTAACTCAGCATGCTGAGATGAGATTAAATTCTTCAGATTTATTCTTTTATTTGCATCCTCTAAAATAGGTATAGCATGTGGGACACAACCACGGGGAGTGAATGATCTTCAATGCAGATGCTGTCACAATTGTACAATTGAACATTTCTATTATTTCCTTGGGGAGATCAAGTCCTTAAGTAGCACATGCAAATATTTGATAGCCAGTGGGTTGTGTAAGGGCAGGATTGGTTCAATTTCGTTGGTTTGGCTATGTTAACAAAGAGAAGTATGTCCTTCCTGCTCTACCATTAAGCCCATAAATATGATAGGGAACACTAATTTTCAGAAAATGCTCATATTATTTCCTGAATTTAAATTCTTTTTGGAACTCTGTCTTTTTCATATGAAGTGAATAATTGTCCTATCCCAAAATCAAAACAGGAATCTGTTTTCTTTATTAGAAATTGGGGTTTGAGGTTAAAGTGTAGTATATTCTGTGTCTCCTGATGCACTCTCAATCTCATTTGTCTATACTTTCATTTTCCCCACGCGATACAAAATGACATCAAAATAAATAATATGCAAAAATAAATCAGTTAAATAAATCAGTCAACTAAAATCTAATACTTCAAAGAAAGAACTTGGCACATTTCTACTTGAGTAAAATTGAGGATAATTTTTGCAGAAATAGTCACGTTTTTCTGTTTCAGTGAAAAGCTGTGTTGCCTGATTATAATGGTGATATGGATGATTAAGATGCATTCCTGTGTGGCCTACTCGAGGTGAGGGGGGTTGAACTAGATGATTTCTAGAGGTCCCTTCCAACCCCTATGATTTTATGATTCTGTATTTTTCATGTGCAGCCTAATTGGAAAATATCAAAGAAATTACAGCTTATTGGTAAAAAATTCGGAAGTAAATTTGACATTTAATAAATACATTTGGACTGATTGCTGGAGCGTATAGCTGCATTCTGATTAATATTTTTCCTTCTGTGAATTACATGAAGTTCAAAGTCCCCATCAAGTTCCAGTTATCTGTATGTGTGGGTGATATATTCAGAGGACTCTGAGAAACCTCACCCATTGTTTGATAACTTGAGTAATTGTTTTCATATACTACTTGCAGTGCAGTCTACCACCACATCCACGTACTTTAACTGTTTATTTTCATTAAATTCATAGTGTTAAGGCGTATATGAATTTGGTGCTAAGAGCCAAAGGAGACTTCACCAACTTGCTGAGACTTTTAAAAATTATCGTATCATACTAAAATGTAAAGATGTGGATGGTGGAGGTGGCAGATGTTGTTTATGAATAGTTTCTTACTGTCTTGAACCCTTCTTTTGGCTGGTATCATAAAATCATAGAATGGCTTCAGCTGAAAGGATCCTTAGAGATCATTTAGTTCCAACCCCCCACTAGACCAGGTTGCTCAAAGCCCCATCCAGCCTGGTCTTGGACACTTCCAGGCATCCACAGCTTCCCCGGGCAACCCATTTCAATGCCTCACCACCCTCATAGTGAGGAACTTCCTAATGTCCAATCTGAATCTACCCTGCTCTAGTTTAAGTTTGGTACAGACAGTTTACCATCTTAGGCAGGAGGAAGAGGGATTATCAAACCTATATTTTCACTAATTTTATCAGACTGTGCAAGTTTGTTGTAAAGGTAGGTTGAAGTAGCCACTGCTGCAGAAGGATGTCCTCTCTTATCTCAAGCCTTGTTTGTCGTTTAGTGTTGCGTTTTTTTCATCTAAACAAATTCAAGGCATTCAGCCTTCAGTGTGAGCAAAGTGAGTTTTATCCTTTGTGAATAGTTGCAAACTAACCCAAGCCTTGTGGCAGGTTAAAGTCCCCCTAATTATTCAGATGATGGGATTCTCCACCTTTTTGTTAGCAGGTGAGTGCCCTCAGTGCTCTAGTCACATCCTCCAGCTATAAATATTCTTCCAGCTCTGCTTACCTGTATGCAACATCCATGTTTCACACCTCAGTGTACGGAGAGAGTAGTTCTACAATGAATAGCTGCAGAAGTCTAGTTTTACTGTGAGTGGTTATGCCCTTCAGAATCAAATCCATTCCTAATCAGTGCCATGGCCATTTGAAATGTCTCACCATTCAAATCTGAGAACAGTACTAACCTGCTGCTGCTTCTCCATGGAAATCATAACATTGATTCGTTGCCACGCTATTGTTTCAGAGACCCACCTGCCTTCTGTTTTAGTCTTCCCTTTCTTGCTCTGTTCTTGCCTCCCCTATTGACTCCCTTCTCTGTGTTTGTTTGTTGATAAAGATGCAAACCAGGAGTAAAAGGAAGGCAATGTGATCAGTGTGCTCCTGGTACTTACGGTTTCCCAAACTGCGTGCCGTGTAACTGTAACAGAGATGGAACAGAACCAGATGTTTGCGATCCCCAGACAGGAATTTGTCTCTGCAAGGTGAGATAAATGAAATTACTTCTGCATTCACAAGCATCATTTTGCACATCAGTGACTATTCTTACTTAATGAGGTGAAAGAAGTTTCATTAAGTTTGCAGTAAAATTTTAAATGCAGCTGTAAGAAATCATCACACCTTGCAGTATGTGCACAGATTATCATGGTAGCAGTTCAATGCCATTTTTTTAATGAGTTCAATATCTGTCAGTTGTACAGGCAGTCTTGGGCTTTGCAGGGTGTTACAGAGCTGCAGAGTAGATGTTTATTGACTCACTGAAGCAGATGTTTATTGACTCACTGAAGCAGTCTGCACTCTACATGGATCCACTTTATGCATCTGCATCTCAGCTTTTGGATGTTAACCAGGTCCCATGCTTTTTTTAGCCGTATTATGTCAGTTGACATTTCACCACATCATTACATCCAGGAAATCTTCTTTTGTTCTGATCTGCATAATTAAATGTGATAAATGCGAACTTTCACAAGTGACCTTTTATATTGTAGGTCTGGAAAAGCGAGCAGGAAGGTTTTGGCAGGGAAGTTACCAGCTGCATCTGACTAATATTTATTACTCAGTGGTTCACTTTGTAAACTGGAAAGACAGCTGATAACTAAGTCTTCAAGAAGTCAGTTTTATTTGTGTTTGGAATATGATGTATCTGGATAATGGCACATTTTCATTCATGTTTCCATACATTTAAATAAATATTCTTTCAGAAGATTTATTTATATGCGTTTTGCGTGCCTCACCAAAAACAAAAGGAAAGTGCTGAGATTTCTTTCAACTATGCCTTAACAGGAGAATGTTGAAGGTGTGGAATGTGATACTTGCCGACCAGGATCCTTTTATCTGGACCCTTCTAATCCCAGGGGTTGCACCGCTTGCTTTTGTTTTGGAGCAACCAGCAACTGTCACAGCACAAATCGACGTAGAACCAAGGTGTATCCAATTGTTTTTTCTTTGATATCTTCAACCTACATTTATTCCATTAAGAAAATACCAGATTTTTTTCAAAACTGAAAATGTATTTTATTAGTTTCTAAGGATGAAAAATATTCCACAAGTAATAGTGTGGATTTAGGGCAGCCTTTTTAAGACTTAGGTGTAGTTTGAAAGTGCCTTTCAGGAGAAATGGCTCTTTTCACCTGTTTGTTAACAAATCACTAGTTGTACTGAATTTAAGGTGTACTTCTGTTGCTTTATCTTCAGACAGTAGTCAATGGTCTCCTTCAAGATGCTTTGATAAGCACATGTGTCAGTTTACATGTCGATGTCATAGATGCATTTTGAAACCTAAGAAATGTGTGACAGATTCTAACGTCAGGTGTGGGAAAAGAAGAAGATAGATTTTTAGTAGTGGAAATGAATGGTAAGATGGCTGAAGAAAAAACAACAAAAAAACAACAGCTCCCTGAAACAATGCAAGAGAAAGAAAAGAGAGAAGCAGAGTCCTAGAATGAGGGGTGAGGAGTTTAGTTTAGATTTAGATATAGACTAGGTACAATCCATATTGCAGCACTTCACTGTTTACAAGCAAAGAATGAGTATCTGGCCTTGCTCAAGTCAGTAGCAAACTTCTGTTTGCTTTAGGAGAATTTTCTCTAGTGATTAATTGCCCTTATCAAAGACTTTTTGAAAATATATCTGTCTTTTCATTTTACTGCTCTGGCCAGCCAAGGGCAACCCACCACAAAACTGTTCTAGTACATATGCATTGTGCTTTTTTCCTCCAGCGTAAGGATAAATAACAGAATATATGGTCTTTCATGAAATAACACCAATTAACATAAAATATGCATTAAAGAGCCAGAATATTAGGCTCCATTGCCTACCTCTCCAGAGTATCCTGCCCTGTCCCCTCCTTTGCAGTTAACCTGCCACAACAGGTCCGTGCTCTGTCTTTGAGATTAGGGTCCTTGGTTTGAATTTGGAATGGCCTTTAAAAAGCACCTCTAAATTACATCCTTGGGTTCGTGTATGCTATTCCTAGTTACCTCCAGAAGGGTTATGTCTTCACGTGACTGAGGACAGAATTTAGTTTGCAGGTGACAAACCGGATGTCTGCATCCTGAGTAGCTTTGGCACATCTGTCCCGACGACTCTCTTTTTTGAGATCCTTGCAACATCCATTGTTCCAAGACTTCAGGCTGGCTCTAAAGGGGCTGAACTTCATGCTAAGGGAATTATAGAGGCTAAGCAATTTCTCCTCATTACTTGGTTCTGGTAAAGTTTGAAATGAACGAGACAAGCTTTTATTTCCTTTATGTATTTTCTTTAGTTTGTGGACATGAGGAACTGGCGCTTGGAGGCAGTGGATGAAAATATTGACATTCCAGTCACTTTCAATCCAGTCAGTAACAGTGTAGTGGCTGATATTCAAGAATTGCCTGCTTCAGTGCATAGTTTGTACTGGAAAGCACCACCATCTTACCTGGGAGAGAAGGTAAATGACACCTCACTCATCTATTTTAATAACGTGTATTCATTTTTTGCCAGCATCGTTGATAAAGAGTCTCATTGTTTTTCTTAGATACGTGTCTCTCTTTTCCCTCACAAGATTCTTATCTCTCTTACCTGTCGTGCCAGGAATCACAACATTTTACTTCTGAGTACAGTGTTAAAATTATAACCGATAACACTGAATTAATCATCTTGCTTGATGCCAGGGAGATTTTTATGGGAACAGCATGGTCAGGAGCTACGCTTCAGGGAGCTGGTACCTTCAGACACATTTCTGAAACCCAGAGCACACAGAGCTTGCTGATCGCCCAAGTATCCTGTGGGCTCCCTGAAGTATCTCCTGGGCAGATTTGCAAAAGAATGAAATGTGGTTACGTGCTCAGTGGCGTGCAAAAATAATGAACCTTTTTATTTCTATATGTTGCGTGGCAAGAGCAACACCCGATTTTCTAACCTTTGTGGGTTTTGCAGTGCTTGCTGCTCTTTATACCCATGCATGGGAGCAGTTTTTTGCTCATGCTTAATACGTGCTAGCATTTCAGCTTGGGGATCACACCAACCAGATGGAGTAGCTAGTAGTTCAAGAGAGGTCCTCCTGCCCCTCTACTCTGGCCTGGTGAGGCCACATCTGGAATGTTGTGTCCAGTTCTGGGACCCTCAGCTCAAGAAGGACAGGGAACTGCTTGAGAGAGTCCAGCACAGAGCCACAAAGATGATGAAAGAGGAAAGGCTGAAGGAGCTTGGAGAAGAGGAGGCTGAGGGGTGACCTCATTAGTGTTTATAAATACGTCAAGGAGAAGTGTCAGGAAGACAGAGCCAGGCTCTTCTCAGTGATGTCCAATGACAGGACAAGGGGCAATGGGTACAAGCTGGAACACAGGAGGTTCCGCGAAAATATTAGGAAAAACTTTTTCACTGTGAGGGTGACAGAGCACTGGCACAGGCTGCCCAGGGAGGTTGTGGAGTCTCCTTCTCTGGAGACATTCAAAACCCACCTGGACGCGTTCCTGTGTGACCTACTGTAGGTGATCCTGCTCTGGCAGGGAGGCTGGACTAGGTGATCTTTTGAGGTCTCTTCCAACCCCTGACATTCTGTTATTCTGTGACTCTGCTAGTGGTTGCCCGGAGCCCCAGGTTCTTGCTGTGTGGAACACTTGACCGCGTTGATAGTTGCTAGCCAGCTGTAGGATGTGCAAGCTTTTCAGATGCAAACCTACTGCCACACAAGTGAGAACAAGTGGGATAGGCAACAGAGCATTAAAGATGGTACGGTTTTCAAAGTTCCTCTTAGTCCTCATTTTAAAAACTAGAGCAGTCTTTTTCATCCTGCTCTCCTATGCTCAGAGAGAGAGCTGAATGCACATTTAACTAGGGTGCTTTTTGTGAATATTGTAGTGGTTCTTCCTTCAGTGTTTCCAAACTATTTTTTAAAGACCTTTCATGTTAAAGCATATGTTATCTACTGCAGTGTTAAACTGAAAGGACTTCTCTTGTTCCCAAAACAAAATGCAAAGCAGGCAATAACCCTTCTTAAAACACAGCTACTAAGAACAGTGCTATGAGTTTTATGTTGCTCGTTACAGATTCTAACTAGATACGTAGTGACTTGCTTTTTATTTACAGTGACAACACTGTAAATAAAATAGTTCTATTCTTGGACCTGCTTTTGCTGTACACTCTGTGTAAGTGTCTATTTTAGCACAGTCAATACTGCAGTAGTGGAAGTCTCCCCAAGAATGCTATCTTGATGCCAGTTTTAAAGGCTCATAAATTTACCAATTCTTCATGTTATTAAGGTTTTGGTCTACTTCCAGTGATAACGCCTCTTTCAGAAAATACGAACAAGATCACTCCAGACATTTTCAGTATGATGAGGGTATAAATACTGATTTCCATTATCTTAAACTAGTTCTACTGCAAAATTAATATCTATCAGAGCATATTTTCTTTCCTTCCCTTTTAGGTAAGGTAAGGGAATCAAATGTATAGCAGTGCAGAAACCAACAGTCATTGAGAAATTGGGAGAGCATTATCCCCATTTTCTCCTCTTTTATATTTTAACATTTTGTTTAGTAGACTGCTCTTAATGTTATTAAATAAATATGTATAGCAGTGCAGAAACCAACAGTCATTGAGAAATTGGGAGAGCATTATCCCCATTTTCTCCTCTTTTGTATTTTAACATTAATGTTAGGAAATAAATACTGCACATAGAGAATACAGAGGGTAGTTTATAACACCAATGTTTTCACTTTTTAAAAAAACAATTTAAAAAGCGGTAACATAACAGCCTGTCATATGGTGCAGTCCCAAAATGTGTGTTAAACAGGAAATTAGCTCTAATTTGAATTTTCTCATATTTTTTGAAAAAAAAGAATTTATACAGGGTTGTCTTGATTGTGTTGGCAAAATATAGCCAATGTTTCAAATGATGCTTTTAAAAATGCAGTCGGCTAAAGATAATCGCATTAATTACAGCCCTGTGATCCAAGGAACAAATTTAGTACCGAGATATTTGTGCTTTGTTTGTAATTCATCCAAGTATATGGAAATGAGTAGATCAAAGGCTGGTGCTTACCTGCCGAACACCAAAACCTGACCAAGCAGTTCTTCCTCCTACATCAAAACCAAGCATAAACTAGAAGGGTGGCTAGCAAGAGGTGCAAAACAAAGTGTCTGTGGTGAAACACCTGATTTCACCCAGTACCCACAAACCTTCCTTCTAGGCTTTCCTTGGAGCAAAAACTGTCTGGGCTGTGCCTGGAGCTTCCTTTAATCTCAATATGTTTTGAGTTGAGTCACTCAGACACAGCCCAGGGAAGCTGTTGGTCAGCTGATTCAAACATCCCTGCCAAAGTCTTCATTCTGGGCAGCAGTGTGCATTATCTGCTTGGGTTTGAGGTTGCCCGTGGTCAGCTGGGGTAGAGCTAGGAGCAACGTGGTTTCAGCTGCACCTACAGAGACGGCCTGTTTACAACAGAGCCGATACCAGCTGATATCGGTAGAAGTCCCGTCCTCCAGAAGGTGGAGCAAAGCTTTCCTGATTAGATTTATGTCCACAGTAAGTTTAGAAAATGCTGGCCTGTTAGAGTCACCTTTAAACATGCTTAGTCTGACTTCTCCTTATAATCCCTGGCTTTTCATGGATTTCACTACCACTTTCATTGTCGGTCTGGCATCTGCTCTTGATGAGCCAAATCCATTCTGAAGGGTTAAGGGAAGAACAACGTTCATGTGAACATGCGATTTGTCCACAACACAGATGGTGTGATCCCAGGTATGAAAAAAACCCAAAACCCCAGTGCTGGCAATCTTCCAGAGAACAGTAACTGCTCAAAAAGGGGCAAACAAAACAAGAAAATAATTTCTTCCAAGCAACTCATATTTTTGTATTTTGTATAAAGAAAAAAGAGTAAATATGTTATTTACAGTGCTGGAAGATGGGGTAAACTTTAATACAAAGGTATATTATTATCAAGCAGTAGTGCAGCAAATTATCTGTGGTCTTGTGCATTTTGTTACAGCTTTCTTCATATGGTGGCTTCCTAAGTTACCAAGTGAAATCTTTTGGCTTACCTAGCGAGGGCATGGTTCTTTTGGATAAGAAACCTGATATACAACTAACAGTAAGTTTTGAAATGTTATTTTTTCTGTCAAGGAATACCAATACCATTATTTTTTTTGTCAACTGACAGCTATGGCAAATTTTGCTCCTATAGCGTGTTTAGCTTTTATAGCAACTTACCATGATTCTATAAAAATGATTTGACTACATCTTGCTCAAAGCCATCAACACACCTGTCTCTGTGGTCAAAGTAACATATTATTAAGCATAACTGACTTGGAAGCAAATAAAAAGATAAAACTGGATTTTCTCTGTAAAACGCAGGTGTAGAAAAGTATTAATTAATGCCTTGCACACTTGTCAACAAGTTTGGCCTCGACTCTGCAAAATATGCCCTGGATTCCATGTGTAATTAATCTCATCTTCTGTGAGAATTTTCTTCAGCATAAAATTAAGCATAATTACAAGGCTTCAAGGGACTGAAGTAAAAATTCATTTTAGGTTAACTTTTTTTTTTTAATTTAACCACTTTAGGGCCAAAATTGAAATCTTCTACTCTTTGTTGAAATTACCAAGGGGGTGGTTTTATTTCTTTAAGCCATCAGAAATACTAATTCAGTATTCTAGGATTCATTTTGGGAAACATGCCTCATAAGGCACTATAGTAGTATCCAAAGTAGTTTGTACAACGGGATGCAAAGGAGAGTGTTTGAAAATGCAAAAACTTCTTTACTCAAAAGTAATGACTAGTTCTTCTGAAAATTGGTAAACATTAATTTAATTATCTTGGTGTTTTATTTGAAAGCCAGGTTGTTAATAGGCAAAAGCAGTGAAATCCCTGCTGATGCCAGAACACAGAGCGTGCTGTACCACTTTGCTGACAAAATGACAGTTTTTCTAGTATTAGTTAGGTTTTAACTCCCAAAGAACAGGATTGATGTGCTTCACCAAATTCTTTTGCATCTGAACACTTTACCAGAAAAAGTAGTGAAATGGCAATGTTATACTCTCGTTTTCACATAGGGCCAGCAAATGAAAATTGCTTACATGGATCCCAACAACCCCCTGCCTGACCGTCAATATTATGGCCGTGTGCAGCTAGTTGAGGTAAGAAATGAAAATGGAATGGCCTTTCCTTTTCTTCCCAGTGGTATATAAAAAATATGCATGTGATATGTGCAGAAATACCAAATACTCGATAATATTAATAGATATAAACTTAGATATTGCAGACCTGAAACATAAACACGATTTCTCTCTCCTTACTGCCATGGTGATCCTAGGTTCTGGTTCATGCCACCTAATTTTAGCGCCTCTGCTTTAGGCTTCTTGCCCAGTTTAGCCCTTAGCACTCTCTCCAGGGCCAGTGGAGTAATAACTGAATCAGTCGTCAATGGAAGGTGATTCATAGCAGCCCCAGACTGTACTCAGTAGGTTTGGAATGAACTGTAAACTATTTTGCTTGATGACTAGCTACCTAGTTTGGAATGGATGTCCAACATTCAGGCAGGTGACCTTAGCAGGGATTTTTTCCTACCTTAAATCTGTGCTCAGAAGGTCAAAGTGGGTTATTTATTTACATCTCGTATGCAGGCAAAAAAGATGTTTCTTCTGGTCAGATTCCATTTTCAGTAATGCAGCGTCTATTAGCAACAATAAAGCATGTAAAGGCATTCCTCAAACACTGGATTTCTAGGACTTCACTTGCTCATAAAAACAAAAGCATTTTCCTCCATCCTTTTATGGTTTGGTGAGTGATGCCTCAAAGAAATTTGGATGCCTGAAGAAGAACCTGTATGCTTTTTCACTTTTTGATACCTCAGAGCCATATGTACCTTTGCAAAGTAAATCGACCATCCCTTTTTATACTCATTACTCCTTTTTCCACCTATCCTGTATTTACATTCATTATATATATTTTCCTGACCTCTGTTTCACCCCACACCATTTGGCACTGTAGGGGTCCGTTCCATGGGGGGGTTCCTCCCTTTTTCTATCATCCTGTCTTCTTTGCAGATACTCTTTTTAAGAAGCTGCAGGGCTGTGCTCATTTTGTACCCTTAACATGCAGGGAAACTTCAGGCACGTCAGCACCAATAACCGTGTATCCAGAGAAGAACTGATGACAATCCTGTCTAGACTAGACAGCTTACACATCAGAGGCCTTTACTTCACAGAGACTCAGCGATTAACCCTTGGGGAGGTTGGGCTGGAAGAAGCCACCAGCGAAGGCAGCGGCAGCATTGCCTACAGCGTAGAGACGTGCTCCTGCCCTCCGGAGTACACTGGTGACTCATGTCAGGTAGGAAGCTTTTGCCTCCGTACTGTGCCATTATCTTCTGCCTTGCCTGCAGCTATACATACTGGTTTAGTTAGAGGAACAGGCTGGTTATTAAAGTAATTAAACGTGCTTCTTGCCCTGTCCATGGCTCAAATGCTCTAACTGTCTAAGAAGCACTGTAGGGTTATTCAACTCATGATTGCTTTTGCGGAGATGTGAATGTCATTTTACATGCGTAAGGTACTATAATGAGAGGCTCTTCTGTGATGCCGTATGAAAGGCTGAATAATCTCAGTCAATACTTGCTTTAATGAAGGGAAGGTCAGAATCGTCTTGATCAAAGCTGGTGAGGCCCTACACAATGGAGAAGATTCCTGGTGTCCCTTATTTTAACAGGGTCCAAGGGAAGTAACCTGGACTTAGATAATTGTGGATGCTTTGCCAGTTTTATAGAAAAATGTTTGAAAGCTGAAGTTAATATATTCGTGAAAAATATTTGAAGATATTTTAATGAAAGATACTGCAAACATTGCAAGGTAGTACAGTTACTGATGAATGGTGAAATCCTAGCTTCAGTTGTATATCCTGTCCTCTCTGCTGTTTCTATAGGAATAATTCTTTTGGTTGTCACTTTGCTTAGCTTAGAGCTTGACTATTCACATGTGTAAGCACCCAAGGCAGTAGAATAAAGTACTGGAGAGATAAATGATGCACAAAATATGAGGAATTACGCTCTCAGAAAATAGTTGAGGGTTACCATAGCACAGCAATTTCTTAACTAACCTTGCAAACATTTCTGAAATGACAATGGAAGTATAATATCTAGACTGGAGCAGCTGCAGAGAGTCTGAACGACACAACATGTATGCCTGGCTTATGTCTCATGTGCATCCACCGCTCAGGGCAGCGGTTCATCATCTGTCAAATATAATTTTGGGGAATATTTCTTGCAATTTATTTTTTTCCACATTTGGTGTTCTGTGCCACACAGAGATTGATGAGCATTAACTGAAATTCCTACTGCCATCCCATTGCTTTCAATAAACTAAGCTGTTGGGTTTTTTATTTAATAACCTGGTGGAAATACATGGTCAAAGGAAGCGATCAAGACACTCACCTGGGTAGTTTGCAAGCCCCATATGTTTATGCAGCATTACTCATGTAGTGATTTACTGCTCTAATCACCCAGCTCTGTCTGGCTGCCTAAGGTGGGGAGGAGGTGATGCCTGCCACACCCTGACTTAGGTATATATTGAGCTACAGGAACTGCGGGGTTACTCGTTAACCTCAGGAGCGGTAATATGTGCTGTACAACTTGACTCACGTATAAAGTTTAAAGGTGGGGCCCATCACAGCCTGGAGCCTCATTAATCTGAGTCAGAAGCCGGAGAAGAAGAGAAAGTATAAGAGAACGGGCGAGCACCAAAACGATAGCAGCGCATGTTCGGCAGTGGAGCTAAAGTAAAATGATGGCCCAGGCGCCGAGGCTGAGGAGTATAGGGTGGCTGGTTGTCACGTTTGTAACCCTGGAGCGTTGTTTAGCACAAGATATGCAGCAGAGGCTATCCTATCCTCACCTTCAGAAGCACAGTCAGCACCAACAAGTTCAAAGGGATTTTTACCAGAGACAGGTAACTTGTTCATTTTCCCTTCCTTGCTTCCTTCCTTCCTTGTTTTTAAATGCACTAATTTGATAACAACTTATACATTACTTCATATGAAAGTAGCAAGAAGGCTAATCTTGTGTCTCAAGGTACTTTGCTAACAAAAATGTGTGCAAGAAGTTTCTTTTAAATTGAAAAGAATCAACCTGAACTCCTGAGCACTTGAAAATGCCTAGAACTTTATCTGTGTGGAATCAGTTTCTCAGTATCACAAGTGCTGCTTCAAAAACAAAGTGCCCATGTACTTCAAATGTGTTGTTTTAAAAACATCATAAATAAAATATCAAAAAGCTGCACAGATTTTTTCCAAACACATTTGGGTGTATTTTTGAAAGGAGTGATTCATTTTGCTCTCTGAAAAGGGACTTTAAGTAAATAAAATGTATGTGACTTAGAGCCTATATTTTACTTAGTCATGCTGTTTAATGTATTTCAGGCCTTGATTTCTTCAGAAGCTTTGTATACTGGCTCCCTGTTGTTCAGGGAACATATTCACCCTTTTAAAAATGTCTCGGAAAAATTGCAAGTGCCTATTCTAAATTCAGTCGTTGCTCACAGTGAAGTCAGTATTAAAGGCTGTTCATGATATTAATATTCTGCATACTTTTTTTTTCCATGTATCCTACGTGTAAAGAAGGCAAAGGTGCCACTAGCAACTGTTGCTTAAACAGCAGTAACTCACTATTCCTGTTGGTATCTGCTTTGAGAGAGGTGAATCTTTTTTTCCTCTGGTAGATACGTGGTTGATTAATTCACTGGTTAATCTTGCCCCTGCAGAAATACTTAAACCTCAAGGCACTAAAACATGATTTTGGACACCATCCCACAAACCCTTTGTTCTTCAGATTAGTCCCATTGTCTTGGTGGTGCAGTGGCTATGAGAAGAGATACATGGCTTTAAGGTTCAAGTGTCACTTGTTTTCTGAGTGTCGCTGGGGCCAGCCCCTGACCCATGGGGTAGAGGTGAGGCGTAGGTATGGTGCAGAAACATGTTGCTGGAGGCGAGAACCTGAGAGTGTTGGCTTTGTGAGGAGCACAGCTTTCCCCTCGCTTCCGTACAGCCCTTGATCTTCCTTGCACCACGCCAACTTAGTAGTGAAAAGGAGGTAGGGAATGGAAAGGATAGGCTTATGTCTGGTCATATTTTGTGTGGTTGGTGTGCCAGGAGGATGCTGAGCAGAGAAAGCAGGCATGGATTTTTGAATTGGTCTGTACACAGCAAGACTCCATGCCCAGGAGGAATTCCTTGTCTTTTCCCTACCCTTGTGCTTTCCCTGGCCATGCCAATCAAGAACCTGGATTAAACGTATTAGTTACTACCTTCCTGGTGTAGGCTGACAAACTGCATGTGTCTTGCTTCATTCATGACGTTCCTCTGGTTCAGCTCTCTATTTAAACCAAACTTCAGTCTGACAGGCTGTGCTCCTGCTCATGTGCCCTCAATAGATGAACATTCTTCTCATGCTTCCCAGGTCTCCAGGGCAAGCCTGTACATAGAAATTAGACCTAGCTCTGTCTAAGCATGGCTTTGTATAGCTCTGAGGAGACCTATTGTGGACGTCAGGATGAATTCATGTAAAAGATATCTCGTTAAAAGTATTTCCAAGGAATACACCCTAGTTACATTAACATAAAGATTTCATATAGCCACTAGCTAATATGTGAGACCTCCATATGTTCTTCTTTGAGAACACTATATTCAAATATTTTATTTTTCGGTGGTTTTAAAGCCATATTGTACAACTTTGTACATTGCCACAGAAAATGTGTTTTGCTCAGAGGTTAGAGTCAAAATGATGAAATCCCAACTACCACAAAGTGTAGAGCAGAGTGTTCAGATGGCATTTCCTCAGCTCCTTTCATTGTTACTCACTGCATTAAAATACTTATAATTTAAACAGCAATATGGACTGAGAGCTTGCAAGGAGACCTACACCTCCACTACTCCCATAACCTGTAAAACTTTCTTTCTGTCGACATTCACATGTTTTTTCCTCTCTTCTTATTGTCTAGGAATGTGGCCTTGGATTTTATCGTGAGAATGAAGGATTATTTACTGGACGCTGTGTTCCCTGCAACTGCAATGGAAATTCAAATAGGTGTCAAGATGGTACTGGAAAATGTATTGTAAGTTACTAATAACTACTATTGTTCAACAAAGGAATTGAAAAAAGGAGAAAAAAACATTACCTTGCTACAGTGTGGACTATACAGTATTGTTAACTTCCAAGCAACTAAAAATAATAAATCCTTGTTTGCCTTATTCTCTTATATCTTGAACTGTTAATGTAACTTGTACTGTTTAATGTAACTGTAGGTGATTAGAATAACTTGTGTCCTTGTCTTTCTTATTTCCCCTGTAATTTTTGTTAGCTCGTGGTACAAAAAGTCATCAAATTAGTACATATGTGTTTGCGGTTATTTATAAAAAATACAGGTCTCATCCTGGCATATGCAGTTATTAGTTTTGTCTATATATAGTAGGGTTTACTAGTGCTGACAAGAGCATAGCCTTTGCAGAATCTCTAGTTCAATTAGTAAGTCTCCACTAATTCAGCTAGATGGATTCAAAAAATATTGGAATGAATAAGATGAGATAAAGGGGATAAAAGTTAGATTAATTAGAAAATTTCAGCTGTTACAGAAGATGCAGTGGGGCACATTTGGTTCCTGGCACAGGGTATTAAATCCAAAGCAGCCTCCGGGGAGTGGATCAGCCCTCATAGCAATGCCAGTGTGACATTTGGCCGACTGTGCTTCTCCAGCTCATATCTATGATGCTTCTTTGGACAGTTTGTTCTGAAAAATTCCCACTCAAAACCTTTTCACTGATTTTTCACCTACTTGTGCAAACAAGAACGTTGCCAACATCTTTCGTGGTCTGTCTTCTCTATGATTTCCTCCTTGTTCACGCTGGATCCATTCTGCCTGCGGTGCATTCCTGTGCGTTATGTCATTCCCCCGGCTTTGTCTCAACCAACTCTCTTGCCTTAATGGAAACTATAAACCAATTCAGCACATTCTGGGGGATGACTTGCAGGCTGCTGCTTTGGAGAGGCAGGGCAGGCTGTGACAGGAAAGTGCTGCAGCAGCACTACAAAGATGAGGAAGCTTTACTTCAGATGAAAATTTTAAAGGAAAAAAAAATATTCAGATTTCACTTTAAACTCATGAAGTATATGATTTAGGTTTCTCTTCAACCCCTCCTTCTCACAGCTGGATTAACTTTCAGATAGATAGAGCTAAATCAACACTTGGCCCTGGGACAAAATTTAGGGCAAGCGAAGTCATCCAGGATAATCAGGTGAAAAATGGAAGCCTAGAGGGCCTGCATTTCCATCATGAGCCTCCACCTAAGAAGGAGCAAGTTTGTTTCTCTGTAGAGGATCTATGGGACAAAGACTTGTAGTGGTTCAGAGAAGACAATGAGGCTTCCTAATGCCCAGTTGTCAAGTTTCATATCCAAAGTGCAAAGCTTGCTGACTTGGCCTCCTCCTTCCTGCCTCTCACCTGGAGTGCTGGACTCCAGAAACATGGTGGCATCTCTCCAGTGATAGTCTCCAGAGAAGGCTTTGTGAGGCCTCCCTCTGTGGCAGCAGTGCCACTCCCCAGCTCGGGCGATAGCTCTCCTGCTGCATGCTGGTGGAAGGCAAGGGGTTGACCTGCTGAAAGTAGAAGAGAACTGGGTATAGGAGGAGGTGGAGAAGACAGGAGAACTGAGGAAAAGCTGGCCCTCTGCCATTAATCAGGCTTTGTGTCCTTATGGTCCCTGCCTTTCCTCTGGAAAGGCACATTCCCTCAGCAGCAGTGTGGTGTTAAGACTTGCTCACCCCATGACGTGTTGTTTCATGTCATGTAACCTCATGGCCATAGGTGTTTCTGTTGTGGCCCTGGCAACTTGCTCTGTCTTCCTCATACCATATGGGTGCTTATGGAGTCAGCTGAGAGTTTTCCTTTCAGAGTTTGCAATACTTGATGGTTTGGAGATGCTAGGATTCCAGGGGTATCTCTGGCCCTGTGAAACTGTAAGGAAAACCCATGAGGTCCTTTCATGAGGCCATGAGTTGCTGCTATGGCTTCATTCCACCATGCCTTGGGAGCCCTGGATTATGTTCTCCTGTCTTCCTACACCATATAGCTAGAGAAACAGCATGGCACATTCAAAGTGACTTACATGTGAAGCAACATAGACTTTCTTCAGCTATTATGGAATTGCTTCAGTTTCTACTGAGAGTGAGCAAAACAAAAGCTGGGATATAAATTTGACAAGGGGAGGTTGCTCCAAGATTAAATCAACACAAATATTCTTAAATACCTCTCTTTTACTCTCTTTGCAGTTTAGTTTATTCTTCAGGATTATCAAAATTTGAAGTAAATATTCAGAAACAGAGTGAATTTTCCATGAGCTTTTTTTCAGGAGTATATACACCAGCTTTTAAAGAGGCTGCATTTTAAAATGATTTCTTTTACATACACAGTGCCTTCATTGTTACTTAAGCTTCCCCTAGTTAAATGGCCCGTATGTGAACTGGAGCTTTTCCTGTTCTTTCCCAGAACATTTCACGAGTGGGCCACAGATTTAGTTCTTTAACCAAAATGAAAAAAACCTAGGGGTTACTACACGCAGAGTCTGAGAGAAAGGCTGTTGATTTGGTTGAGGGAATCTGGATGTGAAGAAATGTGGAGGAGAATGGAGTGTAGGAAAAGATGGGAGAGACAGAATTGTTTCTCATTTGTAGGGAAGAATGCCCTTCTGCTGCAAAAGATGATAGCAGGGCCTTCAGCCGTAGCCCTAAGCCACCAAAAACCAGGAAATGGGGGTGCAATCTCAGTGACTGCTTTCAGCCAATTTCCTACTTTCTTTTTCCATCTTCCACTTTATTAGTACACCCTCAGCTCAGTGGGAACGGACGCTGGATCATTCTCTTGCACATTGAAGAAAACAGTTTTAGGACTTGGGAGCTTTAATGCCGCCTGAGTGTTGGTCACATGGAATTTTTGTGGTGGCTCAAAAATGCATTTGAACAACTTCTATTTTAAGCAACTTGCTCATCCTCTCTGATTTGAATCTACGAAGAGAAATACTTTTTATATTAATTTCATGGGATTTTTAGTCTCAAATAATTGCCTGATATCTACCTTCTAATTAGTGTTAAAATACAAAATTTAAAGTTCCATTTAAATGCAGTGATTTTTGATTTTTACTTGAAATATGAAGACATAGAGAGTACATTAATGGAATATTCCTTAACAAACTATGCACCTGACTGAATTTCTTTAAAAATATGTTTACTGCTGCTTATTTATCTCTTGCTTTTCCACAATAGTGATCAAATTGTGCTTTCTACAATTAGACTGGAATCAATCTATCCTGGTCACGAAGGTAGTTCAGCAGCAAATTCTTGATAATGTGGAAGAAAAAAAAGTTTATCTTCTGAGTAGATTTACTATAATTTTTTTTAAGTAATAATAAAGCCATATTCAGCGGTAAAGCATCACTAACTGTCTTACTTGTTTCCTTTTAAAGAACTGTCAGTATAATACCGATGGAGAAAAATGTGAGCGCTGTAAAGATGGTTATTTTGGAGATGCCACTCAAGGTTCCTGCCGGGTGTGTCCTTGCCCCTATACAAACAGGTACAGTAAAAAGTCATAGGAAGTCAAGCAGGAAAGCAGAAAAGAAAAAAAAAAAAGAAGAGAAAAAAACCCCAATCCTGCTACTGTAGGAAGATAAAGGTCTTTTTCTGTATTCTCCTATCACCCTACATGGTGAGGCATGTTAGTCCAGCAGTAAGTTGGTGGTCTGTCTCACGGCATTTCCTTTTTTTAATAAGCTGGATATTCCAGTTCTCACTCACTTCCTGCACCACAGATTCTCGCTGCTCATCGCCCAGGTGAGCCTCAGGCAGTTGTAATGGGCTTGTGTTAAAAACCACCAGTAATTCCGCCGTAGTGAGAAATACAGGATGGAGGTCTTCTCACTTACTGGGCAGGTTCAGAATCTTTCTTGATTACTGAAATGCAGGATGTAAGTTATCTTTATTCTCATGTTTACCAGCAGCACTCTGGTTTGGAGATAAGTGACAACAACGAAACAAGCCTTTTATATGAATTCAGAAAATTTAGTGACAAGCAAAAATAATATAAAACCAGTAAAGTTCTTAAGCACGTATCTAGATTTCTGAAGGAGTATGGTTGCTTTTCAGGTGGAAGTCCCATTTTAAGTGCAAACACACTGAACTAGAAAAAAAACCCTAAATATTCTTGAATCTAATAAGGTTGCCAGACTTTTAAAATTGCATTTGAAATGCGTGATATGTTTAGTCACATTGTCATAATTGGTCAGTTACGAAATATGATATGCATTAAATCCAAATATTTTTTTTAAATCATAAGCTATAAATTGCTAAAGGCACCACATAGTATTTGCCAGGTGCATTAGCAAACACCAAGTAGCCTTAAGTAAGAGATCTACACTATCAGACAATAGAAAGGTTTTTCATCTGTCAGAGAACTCTGTGATAGATCTGGTTTTGACAGCATTTACCTCTTCTGCAGGTGTTTGCCTGAGGCTGACCAAACATATTTTAGTCATCTTTTGCTTTAAGAGTGCTGAAATACCTAGGGAGGCTGTAAACTTGTGCAGTTTCATAGCTGCCCATTAGGGTGATTTCTGACATAGGAAATGCACCTCATCTGGCGTTATTGGAGTTGACAATTTTCCATCTAGTCAAATTAGATGTAATTCTCAGTGCAGATACCTGTCTTTGACATACAGACTTGCTTTATCCAACTGCTCATAGATTAAAAAATGGAAATAGCCTATCCCTGCTTCACCTCCTGCCTTCTCCTTCCCAAACATCAGCCAAAAGATGGATGGTTTTCCTTCCAGAGAAATCTGAATCCAGATGATTCTACTAGAAAGAACAGACAAAAATGTTCATTATGTTAACCAGATATGCTCTAGGGCTACCCAAAATGGTGCACAACTCTATTAAAAAAACCCCACAAATCCCCCACTATTAGCTGCATAAAAATAGCCTTAATGTTTCCATCCATTAAAAAAGAAAAGCTATCCAAACAGAAGGAAGTGTTGTCTAGCATAGGCTATTGATTCTTGCCTAGCAAGATAAAACAAATCTGGGTAGCTATTTTATTTTAGAACATCACTATTAAGATTTATTTTAGGTATTCCTTTAGGAATTATTATACCATTATATTCAGTCCAGAGGGTCAGAAAATGATTATTTTTTAGTCTAAGGAAAGAATTTAGAGGAATAATATGAAACTTCAAAGAATTAATCACAGCAATTTGTCTGGAGATAGTTAAATTAGCTGCGAAGTAATTTGGTGGTATAAAACCTTTTCATTTAACTGAGCTTAGCCTCTTGAGTGTAAAATCTATTTGATTTTGTGCTTGCAATAATATTTTTGCTTCTTCTCAAAGATTTGCAACTGGCTGTGTGGCAAATGGTGAAGAAATTCAATGTCTCTGCAAAGAGGGCTATACCGGCGTCCGTTGTGAACGGTCAGTGATTTGTTTCTCAAGACAAATGTTTTTGAGAGGCACCATTAAGGAAAATATTTCCATAAGGAAGATATGTCCATATGGGGCAATATAGGGATGTATGCATATACATAGTATGCACACATATGCCTTGCCCTCCTCCTGGTAACAGTGACTCCTGCTTCACTTTTTCCTTTTTCCAGATGAAAACATTTTTCTGTTTCCTCCCATCTACATGATGGTGCTTCAGCGTTCTTAGTTACCAGCAGCATCCATGCAGCATTTAACAGCAAACCCTTCATCTCAAATCATTCTAATGTGCCTAACAGGTGGAGCCTACAAACACCGAAGCTGTCTCTGTTGCTGGAGGATGGCAGGAGTTTGGCAAAGCACAAGAGGAAGAGCTTGGCAGTTTCAGGCAGGCACTGAGCTTCATATCCAAGGGGAATTTAAGCTAATTGAGTGGTGTTTTCTAGTTTGGAAACCTGAGGCCAACAAGTCACAATGTCTCACTTGAAGACAGTACCTCCAGTAGCACATCGTCTTGTGCTTCCAGACTGTTACCTTTGATATCTAAGCTGCAGATTGTGAGCAGATTTTTCTCTTCCAAATCTAGTCATACCTCAGCTGCTCATCCTGGCCTGTATTGGCAACCCTACAGGCCCTACAACAGAGTGACTTGTAGGAATATTAGCTAGCCAGTATGGACAATATATTTTACCTATAAAATATTTAAAGGTTACTCACACAGACTGCTTTGCTGGCAGATGGCAAGAGGAGGTATCACGCAGCAGAAGGGTGATAATGTCATTCAGTGCTGTTGCTATTTGAAATCTCAGCATGTGCTTGCAGTATGATCCTCCTTAAAATATGTTTTCTGGTGGGATCACAGACCAGCATGGTGTGGTTTGCAGGGTTGAGCCTTGCCAAATTCTCTATATATGTATCTGTGTGCATTGTATTTTTTCGGATTAAGTGAATTATTCCTATGTGAGCATTGTGGGAGTTCTTTTATTTTTAGAAAAAAAATTCTGCAGTACTTGGCAAGATATTTTTAGCATAGTGCAGAGGATACTGTAAACCAAAAATATATTCTTTTTGTCTAAGTCAGGACATGAAATCAAAAGTTCTTGAAAGTTTCTGCAGGAGAATAACTGGACGGTTTTTGTGAAGAGAAAGTGTATTTCACAGAAGTAGCTTCAAATATTTAATAACAATTATTTGTATCTCTTTATCTAGCTGTGCTCCAGGATATTTTGGAAATCCACAAAAATATGGAGGCTACTGTCAGAAGTGTAATTGTAATAATAATGGACAGCTGGCTAGCTGTGACCGCCTGACTGGAGGTATGTGAGGGCCTATGAACATGGAAGGAAGCATTGTTTTCTCTCTAGGAAGCAGAAAAGGAAGATACTTAGATTAGTGGAACCGAAGAAAAGATGTAGACTTACAGGAAATGAAGATCATTTTTAACAAAAAGTAAAACCTAACCCCATGGTAATACAAGGACTGTCCTGAGTAATCGAGTTCACCCTTGCAAACCATTTTATCACGTATTTCCCTTCACAAATGCTACAAGTTTTATTCTGGTTTTGTGTTTCAGGGATATCTTTTTTAAATGCGTTGTGGTTTCTCTTCTGACATGGTTAAGTCATATCTTGCCAGTCGGTGTTATGGGCTTATGAAACTGAGCAGTCTCAATATGCCTTTTTAAAATGTATTTGGGGCAGATAGTGACATCTTCAGAGCCTGCATCAGGCGCTGCCATCTTAAGTGTCCAAGCTAGATGTGTTAACAGTGAAATTTAGGAGCTGACTCAGGAGGCTGTTTTATAAATCCTGCTATACAACATTCTGCCATCTAAGACATCCGTGATTTTCCCAGTATCAGTGACACACGTAGTGCACTACTAGTAAGCTCTTACAAGAATATTATGCAGCTGGCATATGGTTGCTTTATCTGTTACAATTCTGAAGTGAAAGGCCTAGCCTGCAATTCTCAGATTGTTTTAATTGACTTCACTTCAGTCCCTTGGGATACTCATTTCTACTCAGAAACACATAGGTCACTGCTCCTGAAAAGGACTTTGATTCTCCTGTATTTTCATTCCCCAGTAAAATTACACTTTTCTTTCTTTGTAGGCAGCTTTTCCTCCTCAGGTTAGTGAAATGTCAAACTAATAACTTCTAATATTTCTTAATTTCTCTGCACTGCTCTTCATACTGCAGCCAAATGACTGCCAAATGACTTTCCTTGGTCACACAAGTTAAAAAACCAGCAAGTGATGTGAACTGCTGTTGGCAGCCAGCGCAGTTTCTCAATAGCTAGTTCTCATTTTGTATTTCATCATTGAAGTAATATGTCTTTATACCTCGTGTGGAACAGATCCAAGCAGTGTGTGATGTTTTGTCATTCCTTTCTTTTTGAAGCAAGAGTTTGCTAGAACAAGCTAATCTGTAGGGCAAAATTCAACAGGCTTGTTTGTCTCCAGCTATATATTCTGATCAGCCATCTCTTTCTCCACTTTAGGAATAAAACCCTCTGTGATCATAAGCACAGCATGTTCTAGCAGGTTTCTTGTGCGTGATGTTTGGCACTTGGCCAGGCTTTTTCATTTCACCATTTCTTTGTTGATGTTGTTTGTGCACAAGCTGTAATAATAGTTTTATTTAATTGGTACTTCTCAGAGACAGCTGAAATGTGTCTGGTGTTAGCTGAATTACACAACAGCAGAACTGCATGGGTATTTGAATTTCAGAATAATTTCCTTCGTTCTCTTACAATTATATTCTTTGTGACTTGTCTCCTTTTGGCAGCAGCGCTCACTACCATTCCCATTTAACTTCCTGATGACTTAATGTACTAGTGCCAAAGGAAATGACAGAGCTAGGCAGTTTGTTCCAGGCTGTTTCATGCTGCTGTTAAAGTTCAGGTCCAATTTTATTACTGTAACCTCTCACAGTTGCAAGCTGTTGTTGACAGCAGCAGCCTGTACCCTGAGTGTATCCTTTTCCTTCAGAGTAAAGGACACGCACAACTCTTTTCATTTTCAAGAGCAGATGAGAGTTTGGCAGTAGAACCAAGCTTGTAAAAGGGACTTGGGCATCAAGATGGGACATTCCTGTCCCATATGATGTCATTTTTCCTCTTTGCCTCTGAGAAGTTAGGATCCCAGGATGTTACAATCCCATGTGTGCCTGGAGAGTGCTAAGCTTCTTAATGGGGTTTGTAAAACAAACCAACCAAACAAAACAAAACAGCACACTGGATAGGCAGTCCCTTGTGTTAGCTTGCTGGAGAGTCTGAGGGCCACATTTGTTATATATCACCTATATCTGTGTTCCAAGCTCTGTGCCATGGGTTACATACAGTACCTCCTTCCATGTTTCCACTCTGGATTTCACTCATGCTTGATTAATCCTGTAATCTTGCAGTCTGCGACAGGTATGAAGGAAGGCCATAAACATTTCTTAGTTCCTTGTGTTAAGATATCCTTTGGGGAATCAGAATGAGGGGTGAAAAAGGTGTTGATCTCAGCAAGACATAAGTGGGAGCTAAATGCTTTGGTATACTCAAGCCTTCTGGGCGTTGCATCTTGTTCACAGCATGGATGGATTTATGGAAGGGCAGCACCATGTTTGGATAGCTGCCAACCACGAAATGCAAGGGCTAAAATGTAGCAGTAGTATTTTGATGAGAAAACTTTGGTTACTGATGACAGTCTTGTGGTTTCAGAATGTTTCAATAATGAACCAAAAGATGTGGATCCCAATGAAGATTGTGACTGTAAGTAATAAAACAGAACTGCACTTAAACTGCCTTCTGCTGGCTTTGGATAGATACTGATGATTCTTTTCATAGTGGGAGAGTTTAAAAACGGCTAGAGGTGTCCTGTAATGATTCTTTTAAAAGCAAACATTCAACCAAATGCTTGGAAAAATGACAAAAGAGTTGGTCAGCTAGACAGATGTAAATGGGGCTTCCTCCTTGTCATAGAATCATAGAATGGCCTAGGCTGGAAGGGACCTTAGAGATCATCTAGTCCAACCTCCCTGTCATGGGCAGGGACGCCACCTCTTGACTAGACCTATTTCTGGCTTTGGTCACTCCTCTTAATACCGTGGGCTTTGTTGTTGCCTTTGTTCTTCAGGCAGCACCAGGTGACAAGCATCAAAGTGTCTGCATTGCACCTCATCTATAAAAGTACGCAGTGAAATGTTCTCTGCACCACATATTGATAATATGTATTGTTTTCCTTTGCTCGTGCTCTGTCCAGCTTGCGACAGCTGTGTGATTACACTGCTGAAGGATTTGAGCATAATAGGTGACGAGCTTCAGCTCATTAAATCTCAGCTGCAAAACGTCCATGCAAGTACCCACACACTGGACCAGATGAGACGTCTGGAAACACGCATCAAGGACTTAAAGGTAGGCAGGCATAAACAGAGAAATGGATTTCAGATTAAGTAAATCAGAGCTGAAGCTAGGAACTTATGTCAGCTTGCATACATCAACTTTTGATTTCAGAAACCAGATGCTGGCAGCACTGAGCTGCACCTGTTTGAAGACAGCTGATGTCATGCTCTGAAAGAGAATCAGTATTTCTGATTTTCCTGAGGCCTGCCCACCTGGAAACCTCTGAGGTTTCCCCATAGCTCTGTCTTTTACCAGCACTTCATATCTCTGCATTACTGAAAAAACTCCCAACACTCCCATTGCCAATACCAAAATTCATCCTAACAATATTTTCTCTAGTTGGAGTAGTAGTTGCTATACTCACAGATAAAAAAAACTACAGGCTTTTGACAGCAATTAGTCAGCACTCATGTCACTAATGCTGCTTTTATTTACATTGGGTAGAGATTTAGCCCAGTGAATTTTTGCTATTTGTTTCCTGTGTACAGATAATTTATCAGATTTTTTCTTTCTTTCTTTCTTTTCAGGTCTTATTGAACAATTACCGTTCCGTTGTTCATAATCAGGGTTCAAAGGTAGATGAGTTGGAGACAGAATTCGTTAACCTAAATCATGATATAAATGCTCTCCAAGAAAAGGTGACTTACCAAATCAGTTGAAAAATACACATCTCTTGACTACATATTAGCATGCCGTATCCAAATATTTTTAATCTAATCATTTTTTTCCCTCACTAGGCTGAAATGAACTACAAAGCAGCTGAGATATTATTTAATAATTTTGGCCAAACTCATCAGAAAGGAAAGGATTTGGTTTCACGAATACAAATAGCTGTCAACAGTATACAAGGTAATAATAATTTCTAACTTCGTAAGTTTTTTTAGTTTATATAATCTTTTCAGTTTGTTTACAGTATTTTTAATTAAGCATGAGAGATTGTCTTAGAAAACAACTTTATAAATTAGAATTTAGACATAGCTGTGGAATTTACTCTTCCTATTACAAATCTAATATGTAATGTTAGTTTAGGAGCCTGCCTTCCTTATGGAGTGAGTAGTGATAGAGAAGCTTTACCACTGAGGCATTTAAAGCATCAAATCGTCTATCCTGACTTTAGTCTGGATTGCTGTCATAGGGCTGTTAAAGTGAGAAGCTTAAAATTAGTGCTGTGACCTTGGTCTTTTAGGATGTATTTAAGGCCTGATGCCATCTTACTAGCTCTGCTTGTGTGATGTGCGATACTTTTCAGCTTAAAAAAAAATTAATACCAAATGGATCTGCTTTGTTAAGGAGTTCAGGATTAGGCATGTCTTTTTCAGAAAAGAGACCAGCCCTGTCATTTGTGTCTTTTGCACAGGTTTAAGCACATCCTGTCTTTGTGACTTTTTTTTTCAGTTCTCTTGGAACAAATAGCTGGTACAAATGCAGAAGGTAACAACTTGCCCTTGGGAGATGCTGCCAAGGAACTGGCCGAAGCTCAACGCATGATGACGGAGATGCGAAACCGCAACTTTGGCCAACTTCAAGCAGAGGCAGAGAAGGAGAGAACAGAAGCTCAGCTGTGTAAGGGCTTGTTCTCTCAGCTTCTTATTCTATAGAAAGATCAATCTTAAATCTGAAGCGCCATTGGTTGTTTGTGACAGAGTGCAGGGAGAGACATTCGTCAGTGTATCTCTGGGATCTGTAGCAGTCGTTAATCAACAGGAAAGTGGTAGTTCTCAAGGGGATTAAAAGGCATTTTTAGTTTGCTATGGAAGAAACTAAGTTGAGCTGGGGAAGAAGCCCAATAGATCCTTCTTCAGTAGCTAAATGAATCTCAGATGTAGCCAATCATAATATACTTATGCAGCACTTCTGTGTATTATAATACAGAGGCTGTGGCACGTACAACTATTTTTAGAGGAATTACATGTGTAATTTAACAACAGGTTTTAAGAAACTGCTGGAGTAGTCCAAGGGCCAGATCATACAGGGATAAGGAAGTTCAGAAGTTCTAGTTGCACTAGTTGTACTCTCTTTTATGTTCTTTACACATGTTTGACTGAGACATTCAGAAACCTGATTCCAGACCTTAGAGACAGCATGAACAGTGAAGTCACAGGCTTATCTTCTAACCAGGGGCATAGTTGAGAAATGTGAAAGACCTCACGAGTGATAGTAATTTCCCCTAACTTTGGACTTTGAAACCTCTGAGCAACTCTTCTGTATTCTGTCTTGTGAAATGGGTACTCTTAAAAGTGTGATTCATTTGACCTCTTTTATGTTTCTGCCTTCTTTGAAATGCGCCCGTATCTCTCCATTGATTACAGAGGAAGCTTGGATGACTAGCACAAAGTAAATGTCTATGATGATGTCTTTGTTGATGAAATTGTGTTAGTTCCATATAAAAAAGAAAACAATTCAGTCTTTGCAGATCGTCTTCATCCTCCCTTAATTTAGAAATAGCCAGATAAGTGTTTATCTGTGCTCTGTTCCTGCAGCAGCAAACTTGTGAGCCGAGTTGATCCAGTGAGATACTGAATAGCATCTCTTCTATAGTAACACTGACATATGCTGCAAAGGATGCTCAATATTTCACGTAACCACAGGTTTCTAATCCTAAATGTCAAGCCCTTTTGAAGGAAGTTTGTTCTTGTTCCCTTCTTTTCTGAGCAAACCTTTTCTTTCTGGTCCTGATACTGCAGTACTGGCACGTATTAAGAATGAACTACGAAAGTACCAGCAAGAAAATAATGGGCTTATTAAAATTGTGCGGGATTCATTGAATGAATATGAGTCCAAAATCACTGACCTTCGTGAAGCTCTGAGTGAGGCCACAGGACAAATCAAGCAGGCTGAAAACCTAAACAGAGATAATGGAGTTCTGTTGGAAGACATTAAGGTAACGTTGGAGTTTGGGAGAAGAAAGTTAAACCTCAGGAGTGCTTTTGATTGCTGCTTTTGACCTTGCAAAGCCAAGTAGCACTAATTCTTTAAAATTTCTCATAGGTCTCTTTTCATTTTTTGATGTATGTATGGACAGATATTAGTGTAATCTACTCCCACTTGTGGCCACTTTGTGTGACTGGGACAGCATGAGTGTGGCAGTTCTGATGGGAGCAGAAAAGGAGAGTCTCTGCCCAGGCCTTCTCTTCAGCTGCCCCTAGCCTTTTTGTTTCCTATTCTAGATCAAATCCCTGCTGCTGATATACTTTTCATAGTAAGTTCCTTCAAGTATTTGGCTTTAACAGCCATGAAAATGGGACCAATAATGCGTGCAATACCATTAAATTATTTGGGATTACTGTCAGGAGGGTTGGATTAGATGATCTTTTGAGTTCGCTTCCAACCCCTAACATTCTGTGATTCTATGTGATTCTACAGAACTGCTTCTGAGGTCTCATCAGAAGGGTGACAAGAAACAGCTGTCATTTCTAAGCACTGCTTGATTTTTAGAGGTGGCGAAATAGTACAAGAAATACCAGTGTTCTGCACGACTCATTCTTTTAAATTGTGGTTTTAAATATACTACTTAAATATATCACTGTCTTAGCACACTTTTGTCCATCCAATTTGCTAACACCTTTTGAGCAAAAGAGTTTCTACATTCAACTGTCCCTTTCAATAGTTAATTGTACCTTTGTGTGCATGTACTCTACAATATATGTGCCACATAAGTATGCACAGTTGTGTTAGAAGATGGATACATGTACAAGTCATAAATCTTCTGGTACACTCCTCTGGTAAAGAGAGATTTGACATGTTACAATGGTAGAAACCCAACTGAAGAGGGCTGACGTGTCCTTACCTGGCAGCACCGCTTGTCTGGCTGTGTTTGTGGCGTGCTATTACCCTGTAGCGACACTGAGTTGTCACAGGGCTGCTCTAGATCAAGGAGCTTCATTTCCCTCAGAGCTTTCAAGAGGATAAAATGAGGAGGTTTCACATCCCTTTTCTTGTAAGATTCCCAGACGAAGAGATAGTGTGGTCATTTTATTTCTGCCTTTGAGAGAATGGTTAAGATTGAAGTGGTCACCAGGGAGCTGTGTTTAAAGTTTCCAGGTTTGAGAGCTAAGACATTTGGATGATCTGTCCTGACAATTCATTCAGCTCACCCATATTACTTTTAGTTTAAGTGCTAATAACTGAACTGTGTAGCCTGCTGCCCAGGCATATGCTGTAGTACTGCCCTGAGGCCCCTGAGTTTTCTCATTCTTCTAATCAGTGTGACAGCATTAGTCCCTAACCAGTACAGTTACCTGATTACCACAGCAATAGTACCCTTGGTAAACCCTTATGCAAACTAGATTAGGTAGATATGGATTTGGCTGCCTCTCATTTTTAACCCAATCATATGTAATTCAACCTTTCGGCTTTTTCTCAGAAACGGATTGAGGAGACAAACGTACAACAGAACAATATCTTGGATATTTTGAGCTCTGCCCGATCTTCCCTGACACAAGCTAACAGTGTACTTGGATTATTGCAAAAGAGCAAAGAGGTATAGTTAACTTTCTTAAGGTTAAAAACCCTGATATCTTGCTGTCACTGTAATGGATAGCATAGCTCAGTGGCTAGGGCATAAGGCTTATCTGAGCCTCATAGAAAAGGAATGACCTCACGAGCCTGTCCTGGGTGCAAGAGGAATCTGCCTGCACAGATGAACAAGAGAAGCTTGTTGAGGCTTGTGATGTGTCTGAGGAAGACACTGAGCTGCAGATATCTGAGTTTGGGAGAATATGTGTGAGAAATGCCATTAAGTGATTGTGCTACTCTTACATGTAGTTCTGGGCAATTGCTTTTAGCCACTGTCAAAGACAGGGTACAGGCCTAGAAGGGTCTTTGGTCTCTCTCCATTTTTACATAATGGGTCTAGAAGCATAATGTAATGACTAGCAGTTGTTTCAAGTTACCTGCAGAGTAAGTTGGAACGGAATGTTTTTCCCCTTGGTCTCCTCAGGTGCAAAGTATATGTACCACTGAAGGAGACATGGATGAAATCAAACCTGTATGAATACAAATAAAATTTTGTCCTTATAAACTCATAGGAATATGAAAGCCTGGCTGCTCAGCTGGATGGAGCAAGGAAGGATATGAATGAAAAGCTGACAAATCACTCCTTATCAGCAAGCAAAGAACCACTGGTGGTGAGGGCTGAGGAGCATGCCAAATCTTTGCAAGACTTGGCAAAACAACTGGAAGAGTATGTTGCCATTCCTGTAAATGAGCAAATTTTGTACATAACATCTATGGGCACAGTGCTTTGTCTGTAGTTTCACTTGCTCTAATGACTTTTTGCAAAGTTAGAAAGGAATTCCGTCTGTCTTTTTCTGCTTCATCATGATGTACAAATTATTTCTTTTCTTTTTTTTTTCCCCCAAACCAGGTCTTCCTGTATTTTTCCTGATTTTTTTTTCCTCCAGAACTGGGGACTCCCATACTATAGTTTCATATTACTGCACTTCATTAGATTCTCACTAATAAGAGAAAATTCTTATGTATAGAGTAGGAACTTGTTTAGAATATCTTTTTTTTGTGTGTGGTTTCCTGTACTCATACTCATCAATACGTCTATTATGAATTGAGGCAAGTAATTGGAAGAAATGCTATCTTGACAGTCTTCAGACACACCTGTTCAGCATTAGAGAAGAAAAGACTTCCTATAGTTTCCTCATCCTTCAAGGAATCTTGTAAAAAAATATGAATCAAGTGTTTCTCTCTCCATTACTTGTACTTTACCTTGGAATTATGAGTGAGGTTTTGGAGTTTTTTTTTTTTATGATAGATCAGAACAGAATGAAAAAGGTGAAATCCTAATTTATTTATATTTTTCTTGCACCAATTGTTTGTATTTTGTCATTACACCAACTAGAAACTCTTAAAAAGTTAAATTCCAAAATACCTAACTCAGCTGGAAAATTCTTCATTTTTTGTTAGTTTTCAGTGGATTTTTTCAACTGAGAAGACACTGTCCTCACAAGTACAAGGCAGCTAATACAGGGCAGTTGCAGAGCTCACAGAGAGTGAGTAGAAGAGATTTTGTCTCTTGTTTCTGATTCCAGAACTGCTGCTCTGGCTCTTGGGGAAAACACAAGATGTCTTGTCGCTCCACCTTGTGCTCCTGTAGGATTCTGGAGCAGCCAGAGGTGATCTGGAAGCTGCAGTTCTCTCACCTCCTCTGAACTGAAGAGTATTTGGGGGGCTATGATGGAGGAGTTTTATTGACCTTGTGTTTTGATGAATTGTCACAGTCTTAATCATTTAAAGACTGCTTTGGAGACCCACAGTTGTGTTTTTCCACATGCCTGCACTTATCCCATCTTCTGAAGAGTCTTTTCATATTGATCTACCTCCAAGTTTCATATTTTTTCAGAATGGAATTACGGATCTAACAGAAAAACATTTTCTATATTGGCGTTGCTTAGAAAATACTGAGTTCAGGTCTGTTTGGAATACTTCTAAAAGTCCACAGTCTTTGCAGAAGGCTGCATTTTTCACCCTGTTTCCCACAGAATAAAGAACAGTGCTAGGAAGGACGAGTTGGTAGGCTGTGCTGTGGAAGCTTCTACTGCCTATGACAATATTATTAATGCCATCAAAGCAGCAGAGGAAGCAGCCAACAAAGCTGGGAGTGCAGCTGACTCAGCTTTATCGGTAAGTACCTGTAAGTGGACAAATGATGGTAAACTTGTTACTAGACTTTTATTTTTAACCAAGAAGAAATCCATGTGTCTTGGCATGCCTTATTTGTCTGTGGGTATGCCGTGAGCTGCTGTTCTGCATGTTCATAAATTATTCTTGGTTCAGCACTAAACAGGCTAGGAATTGCCTGTCTGGTGAGGCTGTCCGTATGAAAGCCAACGGTTCCTCTCAGTGCAAAGTAAAGACATCTGCATAAGGCAAACTTGGTAATCACTGAAGGGGATTTCGGGTGTTGTCTTTTACTTTGTACTAGGAATACCCACAAGCTTTTCAGCATAGGGGTAGTATCTAATAGCTGTGGGCTAGTAATTTCTTCTGAATGCCCCAAAATCTATCAGAAGTTTGCTGAAGACCAAGGCTGTATTATGCTTAAATTAATCTTGATAGTTGCTATTTAAGGTGGTGTTGCTTACATGAAATCTCTGTCCCTGTATAGTGTTTTGTGGTTTTTTTTAAACTGGATTGGGCTCTTCTTCAATTTTATTTAGTATAACTATTAGAGCAGTCTTAAAGTACTGTGCTTCTTTTACCAGATTATGAAGAGAGAAGACCTATCAGGAAAAGCTGCAAAGTTAAAAACTGAGAGCAGTACACTTTTGAATCAAGCCCAGGAGACTGAAAGGACATTACAAGGTACAGAGAAAGAAAATTCTAGTAGAAATGTTGGCACAGCATGACAAGCTTTCATTGAACCATGTTTTTTCACAGTTCAGCAAAGTTCTGCAGCACATATCTAACGAGAAAAGGATAGTTCCATTACAATGGGACATCTTGTGATGGATATTTCCAATGGCAAAAAGGCAAAAAAGTGATTTCACACCTTTGCTATGCTGTGCACTTTTGTAGTACTCCTGTCCAGCAAACGCTTATCTTTGTACTCTTTTTGCAGTGCAAATGCTCATTCAGTGCTCAGTGGCAACACGAGCTGTGTAAGAGCACAGGCTGGCACTGCCACACCATCTGTCCAACAGAGAGGTGATATTTCTGCTTAAAATTCATACAGGACATTCACTGTTTTGCAGCTATTGGTCCAACCCTTGTAGACATGAAGCAAAGGCTTGATGCTGCTGACGGAAAGAAGAATACACTGCAAACTGATCTTGTCACTCTTCAAAATAATCTCAATGGGATAAACAGAGGTTAGTTACTTGCTGATCACTTCTCATTTGCCTCTTTCAGCTATTACTATAAGAATCTACACATACATTTGTGTGTGTTTCAGATGACATTGACAGCATCATCACCAGTGCAAAGAACATGGTAAGAAGTGCCCAGGATGTCACAACCAATGTATTGGATGAACTCTTCCCAATTCAAGTAGATGTGGAAAAAATTAAGAGTACCTATGGAGGCACGCAGAGCGCTGGCTTCAGTAAAGCACTGATGGAGGCAAACAATTCAGGTATTGCAAGTGCTGTCTGAGACCTGCCAAGTCACCGTTGGGTGAACATGGTCAGTTTTGCAGCAGAAATTTTAGTCATCCAAACTTTAGGTACCTGCCTAAGCTAGTATTCTGAGCTTCCTTTATTGCCAGTGGAAAGGGACAGGTACTGCAGAAGTGACTCAGGAAGTCCTGTAAAATGTGTTAAAAGTTGACTGGTCTCTAAAGACTTGGAGACCAGTGATCTGAATTTATCTAATATGTTTTTGGAAGTGCTGACACTGTCTGCTTCCATGAATACTTTTGGCCACAAATTCTAGTACAATAACCTCTGTATAAACTGGTTTCAGTGAGGACTTCCTGATGTTGTAGGAGTAAGGAAGATAGTTTTGTCATCACCCTGCTCACTACTCATCTTACAATTGTGTAGTTATATCATATTTTTGCATTCTTGTTTCCCTCCTCCTCTGTGTCATCAATGATTTTTTTCTTTCATTGCAGTAAAAAAATTGACAAACAAACTTCCAGATCTGTTCAGCAAGATTGAGAGTATCAACCAACAGCTGATACCAATAAGCAACATCTCTGAGAATGTAAATCGCATAAGAGAGCTGATTCAGCAAGCAAGAGATGCTGCAAATAAGGTCTGTCCCGAACACTGCAGTCGTGCTTGACCTCATTGGTTTGGACACAGCAGTACTTTTGTTCCTCTTCCTCTTTCTAAATGATTTTGTTAAAATGTATGTGAAAGACCAGATTAATTTAATTCAACAGCACCACCCAGCACTTGAAGTAACAGTAAAGGTAGAAAGCATGATACATTTTTTGTATAAAAATTAGTGGATGCAGTAGCATCCTGCTTCATCCTCCACCCATAGAGTTTTTTCCTAGGGCATCTCTGCAGTCCTTACTTGTACAATAGCCTTCCGCCTTCCAAGGTATGTTGTGGTGGCTTTGGCAGCAGGGCTGAAGTCTGCTCTGCAGCTTAGAGGTAGCGCTCTCCACCCACATGTGGCTGGTGGAACACAGGCACTTCCGAAGAAGTCGTGTAGCCCTGTGCTCTCAGGTCTCCAGGTGCCCCATGACGTTAAGAGTCAGCTACTATCACTTCCTTATTAAACTGCCCTTTCTCCATTTAAGTAACTGCTGTAGTTGCTGAAGGTGTGGTCTCAAGACCCAGACAAGCATCCCCGAGGTTTTTACAAATAACCTACAGGTATAATGAATAAGAGGAATCTGTGACCACTGTGTAAATAGCTGTAAAACGATGTGTCTTTATTACAGTCACAGATGCATTATGGTTCCCAACAGACAGTCAAGTCGAGCTAAGTGAAACATTGGAATATGTGCATAGACATCTAAATAATTCATAGGCTTCCTCTTTAGAGCTGCAGGGCATGTCTTTCCCTGTCTGTGTAGTGAAGGCAACAATTACTTGTCAGAGGCATGGTAAGGGTTGATTAATTGATATCTGGAGTTAAAAAGCGCTATGTTAAGTGATAAGTATTGATAATATGGAATACTGCATTATCCAGTCTGTTTATTAATTATATTGTTTGGTAGGATTGAAGTCCAGATCTGTAGTAATTAATGGCTGTAACATGACTACGATATGCAGTCGGTTACTTTGCAGTTAAACTCAGCAGTGAGTTAAATAGGAGTAGTAGAAGCAGATACTTATAAAGTACTGAATTTTGGTTTTCTTAACAGGTTGCTATTCCTATGAGGTTCAATGGCAGCTCTGGTGTAGAGGTTCGACCTCCAAGCAACCTTGAAGATCTGAAAGGCTATACTTCACTTTCTTTTTTTCTCCAAAGACCTCAGACAAGAGTAGACACCCCCCAGACGGCATCCAATAAGTTTGTACTGTACCTGGGTGATAAAGATGTAGGTATATTTTGATATTTAATCTGACTTTTAGAAGAGACAACATGCTTTGAGAAACACACGGGAGATGATTTATTTCAACTGAAGTTTCTAGCTGCTGTTGGCCCATTTCTTTATAATTGCCAATATGAGGTGGCAGAAGTGTCTTGTGAAGAATAGTTCATACCTGCACTGGCAGAGTAACTTGTTGGGTCACCAACTGCTTTGCCCTTTCATGCTTCGCTGTTTTGCTGCTTTGGAAGTCACTTCTCAGTCACAGATACCATCAGGCAGTCTCGTCAGCAGTGTCAGGTTCTGAAGCAGTCAGCACAAATTCAGCCCATCTTGTGCCTCAGAGCTTTGATTCTTTTCACAATATGAGTCACTGCAAGTTCCTCTGTTGGTTAAAAAAAGTGATATTTTCAGTTTTAAAATTCAGGCCCCCTGCTCTTAATTTCTTTCTTTTCTGAACATGCAGAATAGTACAGACCTGTTTGTGCATTTGGGCTTGCTCAAGCACTGTCAAACAATTTCACAATTTCCTGTATTGCAGTTCCTAACTACGTATTTTTAAAACTTGTTATCTGGCAGCAGCTATATCTGTAGTGAGTCTTGTGCATACACAGAAAGCTGTTTAAATGCAGTTGTCCTGTGCTGGATTTCACCTTTTTATCCCCTGAATATCTGGCCAGGATACCTGTTGACAACATTTTAGTTGTTACTTGTGATACTTAATGGCGCAATGTCTACATGGAGACCAGTGTCAAGCGGTGTTCCTCAGGGGTCTGTTCTGGGTCCAGTGCTGATCAACATCATTGTCACCCTCAGTAAGTTTGCCGACGACACCAAGCTGTGTGGTGCCGTGGACTCGCTTGAGGGAAGAGATGCCATCCAGAGGGATCTTGACAGGCTTGAGAAATGGGCCAGTGCAAACTGCATGAGCTTCAACAAGTCACAGTGCAAGGTCTTTCACCTGGACCTAGGCACAAATACAAACTGGG